CCTCGGGCACTGGCCACAGTGGGGGAAACGTAGGAGTCGAGCCAGGACCATGCACACGCACTGCTATTGTTTGTCCTGGCTGGCAGGATAAGTCGAACGATGGGTATGGGAGTGCGGATGCGGTTGGTCCAGAGTCCTGGTTCATGTGCAGACATTTACATAGGCAAACAGCTTCGGCTGCCGGCTCCTTTCATCTACTGCCCTGGTATCCTGCCATCCTGGCATCATAGCATCCTTGGTGTCCTGGCACGAACTACTAATAAACCAAAGGCGAGCAGCAGCAACAACAATGGCAGCGCTGGCAGCGGATATTAAGCCTGAACCGGCCCCGAGGACCCAAAAAAATAGAGGTATCCTTGGGGGCTGGGAAAAACAAGGGGTGGGGGAGGTGGAATTGGGAGGAAAAAAGCGGCTCGGTCTTAGAAAAAGGTCCAACTCCCTAACGAGGCTAACTTTTTGCCAAAGATTAAAGATGTCCGGCAATAGTGTAACGATACAGTGACCTGCCCCAAGGACTACCATTTCCCCGTCCATCGCAAAAAAAATTGAGGACCTCCGAAACCGATGACAGCTTAAACAAGCACCGCCAGGGGGCGCTGCAGCAACAGATGAGCATGGGACATATTTGATCACATTCCCAAAGGCGAAACGGAATCGAACATGATTTGTCGCCTATTAACAGGCACAGTGTGAGAGATTTTTTGAATTTGCAGCCAAAAAAATATTATGGGAATAGTAACAAGAGAATAATATATATAAACATATAGAAATCAGAATTACAACATTTTTATTTATATCTGCCATACTAAAAAATAAGTCAGTTATTAAAAGATTATTAGAAAATAAAAAAAATGAGTCCCAATTTTCTAATAAATAAATAAAAGCTTTTCTTCTCTATAAAAATATGTTATTAGAAGATGTTATCTATGTTATCAATCTATCTGCGCATCTTATCCGCAGAAATATGTTCATAACATATCAATTATATACAATTCTTAACCAAAAAGAAGAAACTGAATGCATAAAATTAATGAATAATTGTAAAATAATTTTACCCCTTTTTAGTCTTGTGTTGAAAATTGCTTATTTCACTGCGAGTATTTTAGTTTGATTTAAACTTAGGCTTGTTTTTCATACGGTAACATGCTGTTCGCTTTAAGCGCGAAGACGAACTGCCTGAAACCATTTGCCACCAAAAGTTTGGACTTGTTAGCAATTATGCACGCATAGTATGTCATAAAAAGTGCGAAATAGGATCATGTTGGGGGTGAATCCTGCATACATTTTCGTGTCATATGCGCAAAAGTTAACTTTACTTTTTCCCATTTTGCTTTACGCACCCTCTTTTAGTTACTTCTTCGGCGAATATTTCTGGGTATTTTTGTGTCCTTTGCAAATTTAATCACTTAACCCCAATGAAGTATGAAAGAAAACTTTTGTCGCCCACAGAAAAAGTTGACAGAAGAAAAAGCAGCAGCAAAGGAAAAAGCGAAATTCACTTTGCTCAATGCGACTGCATAGAAAAAAAATATTTTTATTGGAACTAGAAAAGTGTTATATAAAAAAAATATATATAAGTATTTCAAATAAAAGCTTAAAGTAAAAAAAAATGGTGTATAAAATAAAATCTTATTAATCGAAAAATAAGTTGCAAAATAAATCTATATCTACAACTACGGAAAAAACGTTATAACAATGTGTGTGATATATGTTTAAGCAGTTTTGTCATGTCCTAAAGTTCCCCACCAAAAAAGCGCTGCGATTAATGATGAAAATTTAATTGGTAAAATTGTTATTTTAAATAGACTTTTTCGCAAAGTGTCTGTGATGGGGAAATTGATTTTTGACTTGGCAAAGGTCGCAGCCTGAGCATATTAATTCCACTCAAACCCGAACTTCAACTCCTGTAAGATTCAAAGGATACAAGAAAAGCTATTGTGTGCCCTGCTGACATTCTGCATGTGCGATGTGTGTGCTGGTATGTCTCTGTGTGTGCGAATATTAAGTGTGTTTGTGAGTGTGTCAAGGCGCCCAAATGACAAAGTTACTGAAATTACCCAAAAGCGAAACTTTCCCTGAAACTGCTGCTGCCTCTATTAATACTCAGCTGCTTCGCTTTTTCTATGGATGGATACAGTACAGCCTCGTTTTAAAAAAACATATATATTTAAAGTCTATTGTAATACATGATTTTATGATCCATCTTCGGTCAATAGGTTATATACATAACTGGGGTCAACCAGTTTTTAAAATCTCCTAGGTTTCCTTGTCAATCATTTTTCGTAGCAACAAAAAATAAACATATAAGTTTTTGAAACAGACAGTATGAATTTAATATGTAATTCCAAAATAGAAATTATTTAATTTATTTTATTTTATTTAACATCAGCGGTGTATAATTGGTTTTGCTATTTCTACCTAAGATGCTGTTCAAGGCTTCCCACTAGATAATTATTCTTTGATTCCAGGACTTGCCTGTAGTACATTTTTTTGGCTATGCTACTGCTTTTGCGTCACACTTCCATTTGCAGTTCGACTCTTAAGCAGAATTAATGAGTTCAACGCGGAAGAGGGGAGCTTGTAACCTAAATTCGTTGGAAAACCAAATAAAATGAAAGTTTTTCTGTTTGTTTTTCGTTCTCCTGTATATTTATTTTACCTTTTCTCGTGCGCATTTTTCTTTGTTTTGGATGCTGGCCAGCAAGTGCGCCAAAGGAGTTCATTTCGCATAGAGGACATGGTGCTTGTGGAGAGAATCTCTACCGAAAACTTCACCCATGCAGTCTCATTAATGTCCCTCAGTCTCTGCATTCCTATCTCCTTAGTGTTGCCTGCCTGCCTTTCTCCTCCCAAGCTGACTGTCATTTGTTGCAACTTTTCCTGCAAATTGTGGCAAGGTACTTGCTGCAAGTGGCTGCTTAAAGTACTCCTTACACTTTTACCTGGTGGTGTGTTTATATGCATATCCATGGTTACAAGGACACGTTTATATAAACGTACATACGTGTGTTTGAGTATCCTGGCATCTGTGCCAATCCTGTTTATTGGCAATCCTAATGTCAGCTTTGTAGTTTGCAGTAGTTGAGGGCTCTTTACACATGTACATATTCCTTCGGCTCAGTCTAAAATTTATTTGTAAATGCTTTAGAAACTAAATAAATAATAATAATAACTAGTACATTCATTAAATTTAATCGATTGTAACTTAATTTATTAAAGATTTATGGTCTCAATGTAAGAGAAAGAATTTTCTACACTTAATTAGCCATACAATTTTCCATTTTATGAGTAAATTTAATTAGCTATTGGTTTTTATAATAAGTAAAGAACTAAATTGTAAAGTGAACACAATATGATATGTCTTATTCTTCTTGTCCCCCTGTTCCTCCCCTTTTAAATTATATGAAATACTTGATTTTATATAAATATATTTTCGGATTGACCTTCAACTACTTGACATTTTATTTGCCATTTTAATCCTATTTCCTGCACCGTAATTCAATCAGCTTATACATAAGTTAATTGAAAATCAGTGAATGGCCTTTTGTCAAAATGTCTCTCATCATATTTTGACCGGAAAGATGTTCTGTCATCGACTAGACATGACATTGCACTCAACTGAATTCAAGTGGACTAAACTGAAGCGACAATAATTGCAAGTCATAGCGATGGATATGGATAAGGATAAGGATATGGACACAGATGTAGTCATAGAGATTGGTATGGTCTGCCTCTTCCTTGACTGTTTGTACAACAATATCCTCGCACATTTTATTACACTTGTAGTGTGCAACGATTGGAGAGGGAAGGGCAGAGTATTATTTTGGAATGGGAAAGCCAAGAGAGCAGTCATCCTCGGGCGGTGTAATAATGTGGGAAAGGACAAAAAGAGTGGGTGGGTGTGAGATGGTTATAAGTCCCATGTCCCGTCACTATATCCCTGCCACGCCCACTGTGTGTATCATTGTCAATATTGACAATAAACAAGTTTGCCATAAAATGGTACAAGCATCAAAACGAGCCAAGCCAAGTAGGCAAACTGCTTCAGACCACAGTGAGCGTTAGAAGTTGTCCGCCCCGCCCAATATAATATGTGAATCGGGAACCCTCAATCATGTCGCCAAAGCAAAACGACATTCCCTGTCAACGCATTGACTTATTAATCTTTATAATATAATATAAAACACATAACCACACTGATACGGAGCACTTTCACAAATTAAACGAAAAAGAGTTGCTGATAAATGTGTAAACTGTTTTTTATAAATTATACAAAATATACATTATGCATTATAGGGCTCGGGTGGAGTCCATCACTCATTTTTGTGGTTGGTTGACACAGGCCCTAGTGAAAATAAACTTTGGTAATTAATTAAAAATTTCCAGCTACATAAATCAATCAGGAGCCATCATCTGACTACCATCGCCAATTAAAGTTTTTAAGCACCTGGTAAAATAAAACAAAACGAAAATTTAAAAGGTTTACAGTTTTCGATTTGTTTGGCTACAGGATAATTGGCATACACTCTACCTAAAGGTATTAACATGAAAATGGAGAGTACAACTTTGCTGTGATTAAAAATTAACAAAATTGAAGTAAATCAAATAAGAAGAAAATATTAGTTTGAATTTAGGTGGAATATAAATTGTAGGCCTGTAATTATTCGGAGTTTTGCTGGATATTAAAATAATAACATAGATTATATATTAATTTTAATATTATAATTAATATATTATACTATAATTTATTATTAAATTATAATTAATATTTTTTAATATTATATTATAATTAATACAATAAATTATAATTAATACAAAATAATTTTTGGATTTTTCGTAATCCTTATATATTTAATATGTAGAAATTTTGTTTACAATGCTCCAACTGGACCAATATTAATACTCAATCATTATCCTTTTCTTGGTGCTAATATACCCAAAACCTTAAGTAATTACCACGCTTTAATTCGATTATTCTTTATTCCTTAATTTCATTGCAGATTTCAGCGTTGCGGGCCTGAAACTGACCGAGGTTCGCATACCGAAGTACGTGGTTAAGGACTCCCCGGCTCAGTTGGAGTGTCTGTACGATCTGGACGGCGAGGCACTCTACTCCGTGAAATGGTACAAGGATGGCAACGAGTTCTACCGCTATGTGCCGCGGGACATGCCACCTGCCCAGACCTTTTTATTGCCTGGTGTTATCGTGGATGTGAGTATATCCCCATATATCCCCTTATATCTAAGGAAAAGAACAAAGCCAAGTTTGTTCTGAAGTGGCACTTAAACTAAACATTAAAAACAACGTTGCATACTTTTGTGGTGTCTGCAGAAACAACAAAGCAGTGCACTAGCTATCTCTCGTTTTCTTTTTATACTTTTTACCCCTACACAGAAACAAACAAATGAAATCATTCAGATAATTCAATTAATTTAATTTTATTTTTTCCGGCTATTATTATTTCTTTTAACTATCCAATTAAATCTTTTAAAAATGTGTTAGCATTCAGGTTTAAAGAATTATTTTTAAGACGTTTAATAGTCTTTCATTTATATTTTCGCTCTGTTTAATTGGTTTCTGAATTAGACTTATTTCTGTGTACATCACCCCCACCTTTACTTTGATGGCGTATGTGCTGGGGAGAAATCTGAGTTGTTTTTCAATGGGGTAAATGTGATTTTACGAGAGAAAGGGAAAGAAAGTGGCATGGGTAGGTGAGTCCTTGTCTCTGTAGACAATGCGATATCTCCTGAGCTAAAACACAAAAGAAGTTCTAGACTAAGCTTTTGGTCCTCGTAGTTGGAAGTTTTCATATCAAGGCAAGAAACTTTCCCTGAGTCTGGGGTATACAAAACTCAACAGAAAATAAGTAGTTAGGTTGTTCAATTAAGCAAATCTTCGAAAAAGCAAAACAAGTCGAGCTTATAGAAGAAAATAAACAAATTTAATAATAATTGGAATTTGATTCATAAGGTTAAAGCAAACCAATTACATTATTTATCCAGTTAATTGCTTGAGAAAGTGGAAGATTTAAATTTGTGGTTCACGGAACTACAATGACTAAAATGTTTTAAAAACTGCCTGAAGCCTAGATATTTAAAATTATTCCATTATTCCACACAAGATAATAGTTTCAAAACTTTTCAATGCCAGAACTTCACCTTCAGTTTTCGTACTTTTTGCTGCCAAAATTACACACGAAAAGCAAAACACATAACCTAGGTATACACTTCCTTAGACACAACAAAAGTTTTCAGTTTATTATGCCTTGAATTTTCTTTGTCTCAGGCATAACTAATCTTATTTTACTTGAACTTCATGGAACGCTTCAAGCCAAGTAAAGAGTTTTAAGAGCAGATAGAAATGGCATGTCAAACATATGCCAAGGAAGATAAAACATTCGTAGATCGAACTGTTTAATCGACCGCAAAAATAGAATGAGTCTAGGGTAGGACACTTCTTCTGGCGTTGCTCCATTATTTTAGCCACTAAAACTTCGGCACGTAACAATGCACTAGACGTTAACCCACCGAAGCCCCCAAACCGCTGGAAAAGCGGAAAAGCGGAATGCTGTGGGTGAAATAGGGGATGGGAAAAGCGAGTTTCAGATAAGCACGTGAGCAGACAATCGCAGTCAGTTGATGGTTACATTCGACATGCCACGCTCGCTATTCCTTCCCCAAGTTTCGCCCTCTATTTCGCCGCATTTTCCACTATTCGGCTACCGAAAAAGTGAAATCTGCTTTCCCATGCCTGTATATGCATCCATCCCACTCCGATTCATTCCGTCTCCGTCGCTCGTTAAGTGCAATAAATATTTCAAGTTGCGCTTTTGCGTTTCCCGGCGGTAGTGGGCGTGGTCGGTCGACAGAGTGTCCATAAAGCGCGTTACCCTCGCCGCTGCGGATTCCACACTCTACGATCCACGCTCCACATTACCGCTAAACGATTTCCGTTCGGGGGAACAGTGGGGTCAATAAACATCATGGTCTAATCAAATAAAATTATCTGATCTAGTCAATTTGAACATTTATGGTGGATGACCTTATGCCAGTGATGTACCAAAAGTTTAAGTATATCTTGGCAACTAAAGGCTCTGCAAAGAAATTTTTTTTTAAATCTTTCTTAAACTTTTTTGCTTACGGAAATCATTACTAAAGATCTTTAAAATAAAATCAGAAATTACTTTAATTTTGACACTTATGAAAATAAATGTAAAAAAAAATCTCATAAACTTAATTTTCTGATTTTCTTGTAATTTTAAAATTAGGAACAAAACATATTGTTTGTTTATAGGTATAGTATAGTTTATATATAGTTGGGTTTACTTCATGACCCTGATTTTTTGTTTATATGTTTTCGGTGCCTGAATTTAAGCACTTTATTTTTCTATAAGCCCCACTGTGCGCTGTTCTTTTCGCTGGCTGGCGGTAAAGTTTTTGATGTAGGTAATGGGGAGGGGTACGATGGGAGCTTCAGAAGATGCCAGTTAGCGATAACCAATTGATGTGCCCGGTGCTTTGCGAAAGTGAGTGTGTTGCTACATTTGCTGGATATTGTTTTAGCATAATCGATTTGAGTGACTGCGGCGGGAAGATATATGGGAAAGGGGTTTCTGTTGCTGTTTTGCCTTGTTTTATTGCAGTTGGGCAATAGTTGGCTGTAACCCCGGCTAACTTAGGACTTGGACGTGCGGTTTACCTGGGCTCAACTCTCCTTCATGACCGTGTGTTTTTGTGTGGTAAACTATAAATTAGGTTAAAACAACAAGGAGAGGGGGTTAGCCGGCAAAGAATGCGCAATAAAAGATAACAAAGTGCACTTTTCTGCTTGGCCAGATAACAAAGTGTGGGTGGTGCGGTGCCTTCGAGGGTTAAACAACAGGCAGCTGATCTCCTTAACCCTCCCCACATCCCCGCCCCCATTTGGACCCGGATTTAATGGCTTAAAGTTCAAGTGAAATATTTGCCTAACCCTTTTTCGGTCAGACATTCAGCGCTGACCCTTCTAAGGGGGGAATTATTTTAAGGAGCAGGAGGCGTTGGACATCTCGGACATTTAAAAGGCATTTACAAAAAACAAAAAAAAAAAAGAACGCGAATAACAAGAGGAGCAAGTTAAAGGATGGGCAGCTTGAAAACAAGCGAAGCTGCGGCAGTTTTCAAAAGCAATTACGTTACATTAACGTCCAAAGTGGCTGCCGAGGCCACTCCCCCTCGAACCCCATTTCGCAACGCCCATGGCTGATGGTATTGAAACTGCCAATGACAACGCCAAGAGTTACAGTAAAAAGGGGGTTTCTACGAGGGACTGCAACTTTTTGCCCACTTTTCGTTACATTAATTTTAACCAGCCATCTCCTGCGTCGCCATCATTCAACAATTTCTCTCTTCACTCAACAAAGTTTTCCTTTTTGTACCCTAATTAAAGGTATTTTTATTTAAGCAAGAAACTGTCCCTAATTTAGTTTATTTTTTTGCTGTGTCCCAAATACCCAATCACACACTAGAAAGTACTTTGGCGTACTTTAAAAATCAATATGCCAAACTTACTTATTTAAAATGTGCATCGTTGTTAAACAAATAAGAATAAATTACATAATGTAAATGTTTAATACATTAAAAATATATTTTCTCTAAAAGCTGTTGATTTTTAAATTAGCTAAACTAAAATTAAAAAGAAACTTGAACATGGTATTTATATATGGTTACGAAATTTTCCTTAATTAAGTTAGGTCTTTAAAAACTCGAAACTGTTTTAGAAGCATTGAAAGTAATATTCTTTTTCCCATTAAATTTGGGTGGCAAAAAAAATACAATGGTTAGCATTAGGAAGTTGACTTAATAAAATATTTAAATTCCTAAGATTTATTTTTTATATAAAACATATCGCTAAAAATTAATTTATTAGCCTGCATTGTTGATTTGGTACTGCTATTGTAGGAGTAATTATTGCCAAATTTCCTGCCTAGGGAATTGAATACTTCGATTTGGGAAAACATTTTTCCATCTGATATTTCCCCCCATTCTGACAATTATTTTTCGCTCTTGTTTTTAATTGCAGTTGCACAACTCGAGCGACGCGACTGTTACGCTGCGCAACGTCAATCTGCAGTCGACGGGCCGCTTCCGGTGCGAGGTTTCTGGCGAGGCGCCCTCCTTCCAAACGGTCACCGAGCACGGCGACATGATTGTTGTGTGTAAGTAGCTTTTACTGTATAGCCCCCCAGTCCCCCTGTACGCTGTTCCCCCGCCCCAGCCCCAGCTCCGTATATATGTATATTGCCAGGGCGGAGTCGAGCGAAAACTTATAACTCTAATTAGAAATTGCGGCCATTTGGCGTTGACTGCTGGTGGCCCAGATGCTGTGGCTAAAAGCGGGAAACGGGGTCGTGTCGGTTGGTAACTGACGCTCACTTTGACTTTGACTCTTGAAAGTTGTCACAGGATGGCGGGAGTCAGGATTAACCCTATAAAAGCATACTTAAATGTTGTGTTTCCGGATTTTAAAATATTTTAAATACATAAATATGGTCCCTTTCCTGAATTAATGAACCTTTCGGTAAATTTCCTTTTTTTTATTTTTGAAAATAACTTTATTTGTGAAAGTTGAGTTATTAATTCCTTTTTAAAATATTGTTGTGCCATTTCAATTTTTTTTACTGACAGCGACATTTCTTTTCAAAGTTCTGGGTTCTCCCTTTGAAACAATAATATAAAACAATAAATATTTGTTCTCCAAATAATGCTGATTAGAATAAATTGCTATGATTTATTTGTTCATTTTTTGTTGATCTCCAAATTATAAAAATTAAAGAATATTTTTGCTTCAATTGTCACTCTTGGGTTAATCCCGTAAAAGGAAAGTAATTAAAAAGCGTTGAGAAATAACAGAAAAAGGTGTTTCGGCTACTGTTGATTGAAATGCTGAGAGGAAAACTTTATTTTAAAAAGAATAGGAAAGAAATTGGATTACATGAAATTGTCGTTGAAAACTTCAAGCTTCATTTATCACTTAGCCATTAAATCTCTAAGAAGAGTTTCGATTTAAGTAAAGAAACTAATCAGGTAAATACACTAACCCCGTTAATCGCCACCCATTCGATTTCCCTGCCGCCCCATTGACTTAAGCTTGGCCTTGGCCGGGTTCATTTACTTTCACCCCGAACTGTAGTTGTAGCTCCACCTGATTCCAGCAGCCTGACCCAATCAGCTTTATTCAATCGGAATTTTGTTTACTTAGTCAAAAAGCATTTGCAGTGCATTTGACAGGCTTCATTTGATTTCATGCTTCTAATGCCAAACAAGCTTAGTGAACTTCCTCCGGACTCCCACTTTAACCCAGGGCAAAACTTGCCGAAGCTTAACAGTTTAACTCAATTTTGGAAGTTGTCTGTCCCCGGGTTCATTGGCTCTTGTCTTAGCCAAATTTCCTGCAGGGCAATGCCAAAAATGTTGTTAAGAAGCCGCCGCAAAACTGAAAATGCAAACCAAACAACAATTAAAGCAGGAGTTTTAAGATACCAGTGCACCCCCTTTTTTCTGCACAGAAAACAATTGAAATGGTTTTTTAATTTTTAATGTACTCAATATATTATTTTATTAGAATTCCAATGAAATTAAAATCTTCTTCTTTTATGAATATAATAATTTTCTTTGTATTTTTTTTAAATTACACCCTTTACAATTGATAGTATAGATAAATTGGGTTTTTTTTTAAAAAGACCAAGCAACTTTTTATTTGTTACTTACATTTTATTTTGAAATTTTTAAAATTTTTTTAGAATATCTTGTGCTCTGAGTATTTAGAAAAGTTTAAATATTAAATAATTTTTGTACGTGTACCAGCTACTTCCTGTGCCCCCACTAACCACTACACGAGCAGTGGGGTGCGCTTTGAACTGGCGTTGACATTTCGTTTGTTCAATTATAAAACTTTTGCGTGGGCGTGCCAACACGCCCTCTCTCGCTCCCACCGCCCCTATTTCGCTATGGCCGTCTCCCTTTTGTTGTTTAACGTGGACTGTGTCTTTGTTCTAACCGGGGGCTTTTGTTGTGCTTTTGTTTTCTGGCTTTCGGTTGTTTTGTTGCTGCTCATACTGTGGTCCCGTCCCTACTGGTTATGTTTGGCTTTCAATCAAAGTTTTTAAAAGCTTCGGCAACAGAACGAGCCGGGCATATGCCACGGCTCACAGCTCGCAGCTCACCGCCCACCAGCCACATCCAACATCCCGTTCCGAATTTCACCCACAGATGCCATTTTTGGGGGCCCCTTTGGCAAACAACAACAGTCAAGCCAACAGCAACAACATGTCGAAACCATTTCCGTTTCCGTTTGCAAAGCCCGGAGATCCACAGAGATTCCTGGGGATCTCTTGTTATGGCCATTTTAACTGGGCGGTCAGGCTTAGATTTGTTTTGGGAAACAGACTCCCGATGTGTTTAAATTTAGCAGAAAAAAGTATTTCCCAGAAATATTACACTTTTTGCTTAAAACGTTTAATTTTTCCTAAAGTTCGTAAACGGTTTAACTCTGGAGGTTTACAAAAATCAATTGCAATTTTTCTGATATACGTTTTTGAACATTAAATAAAAAGCTAAATAATAATACATGCCCTAGGGATAATAAACATATACTCGCCTTCAGCAAACTTGTTTTAAAACCTTTTCTAAAATATTAAACAAAATATTGCATTTTAATACATTTTTTTCTGGTCCACCTTACGGCATTTTTCAGAGTGTTAACACTTCAGCTAGACCTTTTTTATTATGTCCTTCTATTTTTATCGTATTTATTTCTTTTGTTTTGCTGTTTGTAATTTGACTCAAAGTCCGTTAGTGCATCAGCGGCTGGAACTTTTATTGAATTTCCGGCTGCGCTCCGTTGGGTTTGCTGTCCCTTTGGAGCGTTCCTACTTCCTGCTCCCTTGTTGTTTCTCTGGTGGCTTTGGTTTTATTGCAGAATTCAGTTACTAACTCTCGCCATCCGAAATCACCGCCAACTGTCTGCGGCTGTAAATGAAATTTTCTCTTTTCCGATTTCGTTAGAAGCCTTAAAACTGATGTTTTTCACTTATTTCCATTGGATTTTTAGTTCTTCCGGACCAAGGATCGCCAAAAATCAGTGGTGGACGACCACGTTACCAGGTCGGGGATTATGTAAAGGTTAATTGCACCTCTGGACGGTCGAAGCCCGCTGTCGAACTATCGTGGCAAGTGAATGGAGAGCCCGCTGACAAGCAGAAACTTCGCAAATATAACACCATCGTTGAGGGACGGGATGGTCTGGAGACCTCTGTACTGGGCCTACAATTTCGGGTGGAGCAAAGACACTTCCGCAATGGCGACATGAAACTTAAGGTGAGTGGTGCATTTCATATTCATCTAACTGTCGAACTTTTTTGGCCCAAAACAATTTCAAAAACAATGTAGAATATGGTTTGGGAAAATAAAGAAAATAAAACCAATTTTTGTAATATTATTTATTATTTAAATTATTTTGTAATATTTTTTGCAATCAAATATTGAATATCGTATGTTATACAATTTCCTTTTAAGTTTTGACTTAAGAAAACTGTGTGCCCCCGTTATAAAGTGTAATACACCTTCTTATAATTTATTTCTGTTTTGAGAATATATTTTCTTATTTTCAGTAAAACAAATAGCTTTAAGAATTAATAGGAAATTTTAATGACACATGTTAAAAACATTTAAAAAAGTTAAACGCTTGGAACAACTATATTTGTAGCTATTATTTTCCCAGCTTTTGGCTTTTCTTTTCAAATTATTATTAAGCTTAATATTATAAAATCCCTTTTATATGTTTACCCTTAAAAAATTATCTGTTATGTTATTTAGTTACTTGAATAAGAATCAATGCTGTTTTTAGGAGGTTTTAAAAAGAAGATTTTGAAATTGTTTTTGGCCATGTCGAGTCGCGGAAGTTCGATGGTAGTCTGTGAGTGAAGCTAGCTAACCCCAATCGTTTGGATCTTGCAGTGCATAGCCGAGTTGTCGTCCTTGTACTGGCGGAGCAACGAGGAGTCCGTGGAGGGCGACCGGCCGCAGAAGGCGCCAGCGCTCGAGTCGCGGGAAACGGCCTACGCCAGCAACTCGCGCGCCGATCCCGTCCAAGGTACGTCTTACCGGGAATTATTTGTGACCAAAATCTTATCGCTCTTCTTCGTCCAACCAAACGCAGCCGGTTCGACGGCACCGCCCTCCTCCACACCACCCGCGCCCCTCCTCCTGCTCGTGGTGTCGCTGGCGGTGGTGGGCGCTGTGGCAACCCTGGCGCAGGGGATCGCCCAGGACATAGATGTATTTAAGATACCGATGGATCGTACAGCCACCGGTGGAATGGCGAAAGGAGATCCGGAGGCGAGAGAGTTGCTGGCTGGCCGCGAGGAGGAAAAGCGCAGTGCGAGACCCGGAAAATCCGAGGCGCAGCTGGGGAAAATTTCATTAAGTGCACGGTAGCTGCATTAAGAAACACGGCGGCTGTTTCCCTCCACAGCACACACACTTTTCACCGATTTTTCCGTCTTCGCTTTGCATAGAAAAACAAACAAAAAAACTCACTGAAAATCAAAAATAAGAAAATGAAAAAAAATATATGAAAAATCAAGCAACACAAAAGAAATGCAGCTAATTTGTTTATGCCGTTAACAAAAGCTTTCATCCATTTAATTTTTAACAAAAACTATCTAGGGCATAAATAACAATTACTCAAAACTTTAATGTGTGCGAACGAGAAAAATTGTTTGTGGTAAAGCGTGCAAATGTTTTAACTCTCTACGAAAGAGTTAAGATCCATGTCGAAAAAAAAACAAACTGTAAATAGTTAATGTTTAATATATATATTTATGTAACTGTATTGTATGTTAATAATTGTTAAGCTCACCCACACACAAAACAGAATTTAAATATCACAGAATAGAGGAAAAATGAATGGGAAATCCTTTAACAAAAGTTGGTCAAGGCAAAATACGAGTTTAACAATAAAATAAAAATGCATAATTTTAAATATGTAGGAAAAAGTATTTGTAAGGATGTGTTAGCTAAGTGAAAAAGAGAATTTAAAGCAAACACTCTGGCTGGATTTAGTGTGAGCTATACAGTGCGTGGCAAAAGTATGGGCGTCCAAAAAATTAAATTCTTTAAGATATATATTTATCAATTATTCCCACAATAAGCTTGTTAAGAAAAAAAAATAGTTGCAAAAATAATATAACAAATCATGCATCAGTTAAATTAAGTTTTCCTCGTATTAAGCTAAATATTTTCTTGCTTATAAAAATAATATATTAAATTATGGGCTTTAATACTTTTGTTAAGTACTGTATAACTTTCACGCAAATCCATTAAAACTTAAATAGGATTTCTTTTAATGAAATTTTGTTGTTCGTTGAGCATGCATCAAATAATGTAAAATTGTAATTAGTTAACTTGAATAATAATACAGATAAGAAATCACATAAAACCAAACCAAAAAAGCACTTAATTTAAAATTAAACAAAAAAAAAATAAGAAATGGAAAGTGAAAAAAACTAATCAAAGTTAGGAATTACAACTTGGTGACTGTTGGAAAAGTCTTAAAACTAACAAAAACATATCGTACATTTATATGAATTGCCAAAGTCTAATGGGTGTTAACTAAAAGCGAGTGAGTGCTTCTGTGTGTGTTTGATCCTTCCTGAAAAAACTAATAACATTCCGGGTTCGACTTAGCCAACATCCAGAAAAAATGAAAACCGTTTAGTTAGCCAAATGTTAAAAACAATAGCAAAGATCAAAAGAGCATGGGTAATGAAAACAAATTTAAACAATAGCAAAATGATTGTGATGAAGCCTTAATAACAAATTTGAACTCAATTCAGAAGTGAAATTAAGTTAAATGAAACAAATCAAGTGAAATGAAATGGATTTTATTGTGTAAATAGAAATGCGCTTTGTCCATGGATTCCATGCTGTTTTCCCATTGATGTCCATAAATTCTGTGTGTAAATATGATTATGAGCTAACTAAATTAAAGTTAAGATGTCAGCAACAGCAGAAAAACAAAAATCACAGAAACGAAACAAAACAAAACAAAAGCAAGAGCCAATTTTAATGATAAGAGAAAAGCAAATGAAAAAAATATTAATTATACATTTAATTATCGATGAGCGGACATTCAAATGCTAATTGAGTATAATTGTGAGCGCCTGAGTGTGTGAGTGCTTGTGCGAATGAAAAATTAAGCATTGATAAAAAAATACACACACATATATAAATTTGCATTGTTGTCAACTGTAACTGTTTTTTAAGTCTTATTTAATATCGACGCCATTAACTGCAATTAACAGAAAAATAACTAAAACAAAAACTTAAAAACAATGCAAAAGTACTAAAAAAAACTATAAATTGAATTACCGTTAATTCGAAAAACAAAACATAAATGTGTGGTAATTTTAAGTGTAAATTATTTGTGTATTTAAATAACAACTTTTAGATGTATAAAAAAGGCAAAAAAAAAATAAAAAGCTAAATGCATTCGAATCTATACGATAAACTCTATGTGAAACCGTAAACAATTCAAACCTAAAAGCTGCCACGTAAGCAAATAGGAATTATTTACAACTCAACTCAAATCAAATGCCATAAAGTAACTTCAACTGAATTTAAATGCCGGACGAAGTGGAGAAGTCTCTGTAAATATTTTTAAGCCTCATTCAATGTGCGAACCTTATTCGCAGACGATCCAAAAACCGAACGAAGAATTGTGAAGTACACGAGTGGAAATTCATTAATAAAACATATTTGTTTCAAAATCAAACGATACCCTCCTACTTAATTTGCCTTAAAGGAAGTTTCTTATTTAAGAACGGTATGTACCTTGCTGAGATCATATATATATTATTTGTACTTGTCCTGGAATTCTTCTTTTTATTTATGTTTCTCAACATTAAACCAGCTTCAATTAAATGAAAAATTCAGGGCAAGTTAACCTGTCCAGTTGCAGAAAGATACTTTCACTGTATTTCTTTTTATTTTCGTTGGATGCAACACAAAGAAAATTGGGTAATTTTAAGAAAATATTTCAAATACGTGAAAATGTTCTCGGCGAACGTGACAACAACCTTCGACGACAAATAAAAAAGTAATCGAGACGGAGAAAGGGAATCGGGCACAAAACATTTAGCAGTAAAAAGGAGCAGTTACCCGAGAAATAGAAACGCCGAAAAAAATGAACATGAATAGCAATGTGGAGTGCAGATATGCGTACATGCTTTATAAAAAAGGTGTGAAAATGCAGGAGTGCCAGGAATTCAATAGGACTCAAAAACATAAAAATATAACAAAAGAGGGAAGAAAAACAAATATAGTGATAAAACCATAAAAATAAATATAGTTATAGAAGTAAACAAAATATGTGGTCCCATTTACCAAAGTTCCATTTGTGGAATCCGTGGCATTCAGACAATTTTTTCCCTTAACAAGTCAACCACCCAAAAACCTAAGACAAAAGCTCAGCGCCAACAAAGCCGGAAAATAAATAGAAAATATCTGCGGACTTATCCGTAAGTCGCACCTTAGCTTCGTCCTTGCCGGACTTCACTAATAAGCTGCCAACGAAATAAGAACATTTGATAAATACCGAGGACAAAGCCAAACAAATTATAAGTGCCAGGGATACAGGGATAACAGGAGTTGACTCCGCAGATTTATTAGCCTGCCGACAAATGGCCGCAAATGAGCAGACGGAAAGAAGTGCCCACCTGCTATCTTCGCCATCAAATGTCACATAAATCAGATTTGTCATCTAATGAAAACAGCTTCCAGATTTCCCAGGGATTTTTTTTGTGCCCGCATCCTGGCTAATTCCCTATTTGGCTTGCCATAATTCCAGCTCCATTTAATCTGTAGTTCGGGATGTCATCGCCTGGTTTCGGGAAGATACTTTCGGCATATTAAGCTCAATTGTCTGGGGCTTAAAAGTTTCATGTTTGATTTCGCACAGATAAGAAGGCATCAATTTGTGGCGCAGGTAAACTTTTTGATTGCCCCCTCACCTGGCTCACACATACAATGATAACCTAAGCTGCTCATACAAATCAGGTGGGCGGGGAGTTGCTGAAGTGGGCGTGGGAAAGCTGTTAAAAACTGATGGCGATATGCCCGAAAGTTTAATTGGGCTCGTTCAATTGGAAGGAATATGCCATTTGGGATGTGAGCTTGAGAGACACTTTGTTGGGTGATAACTTTGGTTAGAAGGGTTCTAAGAGGAAAGACGGAGGAACTTGTTTTGCTTATTGTTTTTGAGAGATTTAGAGTTGAAAGAAGCTTTAAGATTCACCATACTCATTTTACTAAGTGAGTTAGTGATTGATATACATTTATGAGGCCATTGAAATTAAATAACATGATGAAAACAAGGGCTTTGTTTTGCAAGATGAGCCCCAAGGACTTCTAAAGTTAACTGAAAAAGCTTTAACACATCTCCATAAGTGAATTTTTGTGGCACCATCCTATTGTAAGATGTAGAAACTCTCAATCATAATGAAGATTCCTAAATCATCTTCAACCTTTTCCCCAGCTGTCCACCATGTTTGTCCATTACCCGATTGAGTTGAATTATCAGAGGCAGACAGACAGGATGATTGCACCTCAAATCGATTTCCATGCAACTCGAGGAAAATCAGGGAGAATCGGGGAGAATCCACACAATGTCATGTCGCCGGCTGCCATTATTTGTTGCCATTCAGTGTTGTCGCCTTGTATTGTTGTTAGCATTTGCAGCATTTGAAATGATTTGCAATAAAAGTGTCTGACACTGTCCATTGGCCACGCCCCATTGCCAGATTACGTGCCACTTCAGCAGTCGTCCGTTGTCGGTGTTGTAGTCCTTGGTTTTGTTGTCCTTGCTATTCTGGCTGCTGGTGTAGCTCATCCTGCCTTTGTCGGATGAGTTGGCTTCGTCATTGTCCTTGCCACTGTCTGTCACGTAATTGCCTTTTGTTTACTCTGGTTTCTTTTCCATGCAACGCCCCACACACCTTGGCATTCTACGCATTTTTCAGGTGCGCACTGATATAAGAGGATTAGCCATGAAGTTAAGCGTTAAAAAAAATTTACCAAAAATGACTGTGTCTAATTTTTGAACTTTTAATAAAAAAAAAATTCGGGTAAATAATTAAAATACTTTTTTTTGACTAGAGATGATTGACCTTTTAACATACCTAGCTAAAGATTCTTTTCAAAAGACCCCCAGAATAGAAATCCCCTCCTGCAAAGGACAAAGCACAAATAAACATGGACGAAACAGCAGTAGCCATTGCTGTCATCATCATTCCTACATTGCCATAAAAATGCGTGGCAGCGAACAAATTACTCATAAAAATAAATAAAAAATTGCTGCCTTCCCGTCAGATTCTGTTTTGGCCAATCCTTTGGTTGGCTGCAATTTCTGGCACATCATTCGGCATTGCCGAGGCCGTAAATTATATAAATTCTGGACAGCATTTCTACACTCCGGCATGCAGGCCTTAGATGGTCGCCGTTTCGTCCCATTAAAAGCCATTTTGTGCGGGGAAATGGAAATGATTTCGTGTCATTGCAGTTACGTGTTGGTGAAAATGCCAACGCAAGTCCGGAAGCAGCATAAAAATATAGAAATTTCAACACTAAATTGCAGCTTTAATTTTCGGCAAAATTAAAGCTCTGAAATCTTGAATTCCTTGTTTTCAATTCGACTAAAAACCATGTGGAGCCCAAAAGTAGGCAGCCCATAAAATCAGTTCCCCCAATTTACATTTTATCGAGAAGGAGGAAGTTGTTTGGCTCATTATGTTGGCCATTTTTATTGGCTTCCAAAGATTTGCAGCTCGGACCCAACTCTCAGATGCGAACCTTAAAACAGGAACCCTCATCCCGTGCTGATTTCATCAGAAAATACATTTTGTTACCTGGAATTTTTATGGTCGACAGCGGGGGGGTGTGGCAATGTGTTGTGGCAATTTTCCTACATCTAAACAAAAGGAAAGTTTACCCGTTTCCTGATTATCTGGCCGCAAATGGTTGATGCCATCTTAAGCGTCAGCATACTCAGCCGATATTTGATTTTTTAAGACCACACCCCACACAGAATCCTTTTCTTGCGATTTACTTTCGCTTAAAATAACAATTTGAAATTGGTTTTACTGCCTGGAGGTTGGATTTTCTCTTCTCGTTTTGTGTTTATGTCGCCTCGCATTTTGATCGCTTTGCATAAGCGCCTTTCAGCAATTTGCTTTGCCTCTGACCATTTGCTATATGCGGCTTAAAGTGGCACTCCACCCCTTCGCATCCTTGCCGGAGTCAAGTGCATTAGATCTGGGGAAGCTGCACTCAAAGGGGTGAAAAACGGAGACTTTTTGTTGGATGGCAAACTTTTCTGCAGCAGACAATAATTGAAAATGCTCTGTGTGTGTATTGGTGAGTGAGTGTGTGTGTGTGTGTGTGTGCGTGTTGGCCGAGTTTGTTGGCCCAACTTTGTGCGCTGGCATTAAATTTATGTTAATTGAAATTTATGTGCGCTGGCCACAGCTCAAGCTCAAACAAACAAAATTTGGAAAAAAGGCCAATGGAAAATGGGAAACTTTTCCTGACATTGGCATCCAGCCTGGTTAGCTTGACTCACATTAAATGGCCAAAAAATAAATTCAATTTGCCATTCTCTCTGTTTTACCATTACACAATTTGATTGTCGTTCGTATTGAAATATAAATCACATTGTAATTAAATTGGTTCAGTTTTAGCTAAAGGAAATTTGTGGCAAATGCAATTGTGTTCTCAACAATTTAATATGACATTGTTGCTCTATTATATATCATAATATAATTTAAAATATCATAAACCTAATAAAAAGTTAAAAACTTTTAAGAGATATAAAAAAATAAGTTGCTGTAACTTTTGTTTGAATTTTAAAAGTATTGTACTTTTGTTTCAAAAATGTAATAATTTATTTGGTTTTACACACAATAATAGATTTTAAAAGTTTTCCATGTCATATTGAATAAGTAATATTGAATGCGTTATAATAGATCCACACATGGCAGTGGTAGAGTAGTGATTGACGGGAAATAATTGCATAACGTTCATTTCAAAAGGGTTTCGTGCAACTTGAAGCTGGAAGCTCTCAAACTAAAGGAAAATTTAGAAATGTTATTTACAGATAATTTAGCTGATTGTATCTTACAGATTCCTCGAGACGAACATCCAAGCCTGAAGAAAATAATGTTCTCTTCGCCAAAAGACGCAACATTTCCTTGTGATCATCCAAAACCAAAAGAACATTGAAAAGATTCAGCATGGCGTCCAGATAGTAGAAGAAATTCAAAGAATAGCCAAGGATAATAGTTCTAAGAGCTAAATCCAAATTCTTGCTTCCATTTTTAAAGAGACTGTAGGTCAGGTACGAGAAAACCACAGAAAATAAGTAGTATCCACTATAGACGACCAATCCCTGGATTCCAAAAACCTTTCCCACCTGGCTCACAATTAACTGAAGCTGGCTCTGGAGTTTGGCAATATCTTCCAGCTGATCCGACAGATAGCAACACCGGGTCATAAAAGCAGCTCTTCGCCGAGGAAGGGAACATAACCTTTCACTTTCTTCGATAATATTTCGCAACTCCGTGTTCATGAGCTGATATTGCACTCGTACGAATAGTATTACCAGATAGTGCTGCAAAATGGCCAGATTCAGAATTGACGAAGTCCAGAACTGCAAGAACAAGGCCAAAGCTTGTGCAAGGCTCACGCGACCTGTTACATCTACGGCCAGAATAATACTGACGAGGTCAACCGCCAAAGTGGTGAAGAACTTTACGAGAAACCCCCAGCGGGATAGGCTGTTCATATTAGGATTAGCAACATACAGACGAAGAATATTTCTGACGAGTTCCATGAGCTGTTTGCGCTGCCGCCATCTGTTTAGCAACGTAACGAGCCCTGAAAATGTGCGTTATTTTTATTAATTTCTTTAAAATTTAATTTAAATTTTTCACCCACCTCCGATTATTCTAAGACCGCTCATAAAGACGATTACATATTCTTGTAGCTCGTTTACGTTTCCAAACAAACTCGAGTCCATTTGACCCGTCCAATGATAAGCGAGAACTGTAATTGCCGTATTGACCGTCGCCGTATAGAAAGTAGTTTTCCAGGACTTGTAGACTCGTCCTGTTCGCGGTTCATAGTCAAAGTTGGTTAAGCCAATCAAGTGACAGTAATAGTAGACTGCCCGCATCATCAAACCTATCCAGTTGGCCATTTTGTTAAACTGAATTAGGCCTCGCTGCTGATTTTCTGGAAAAGCTCATTATTGTATGGTGATGACACGCATGCAAATACAGCGATTTTAAGATCAGATTCGATAAGTACTGGCGCCTGCGGGGAATATTAAATTAATGAACGTAGGTTGGTGGTGGAACTACAATATGTGATGACTATACAAAATCTCTAGATAGTCTTAAATAAAACAAGCCATCGACTACTTCTTACAACACAGATTTGAACTTTAGAAAAACAATGTGCATAATAATAAATAGAAAAACAATGTGCATAATAATAAATACAAGAAGAATAAAAGTAAATACCATTAACCAAAGTCTATACTCACTCAATACAAATTGTACTTATTGCTTTTAGCAAAATAAACATAAATTAAAACGCAAGGTAAAATGATAAACTTTTTTATTTTTATTTCTATGGAAACATTGCAAACCATTTAATGAGTCTATAGTAAACTCTCTCTTTAAAAGTTTTCCAAGTCATATTGAATAAGGTAAATTGAATGCATAATAAAACTAGCGAACATAGACATACTAGAGCTGCGATTGATTTCGTACATTTTCACTACATCAATTTTTAAAGGGTTATGCGTCACTTGAAGTTGAAAGCTCTCGAACTAAGGGAAGAAATTATGTAAGTTTAAGAAGTAAACATTTTGTGAATATAGCTTACGGACTGCTCCAGACGAACATCCAAGCCAGGGGCAAACAATGTTCTCTCCTCCAAAAGAAGCAACAACTTCTTATGCTCGTCCAGGACGAATAACATGACTACCAAATTGAGCATGACATCAAAGTAGTAAAAGAAGCACCAAGCACTGGTCAGGATCACACCTCTGAAGGTCATCTGCATGGCCTCGTATCCATTTCTGAGGACACTATAGGTGAGGTAGGCAGTGGCCACCATGGACATGTAATAACCTGATTGGACCATCATCCCCTGAAGGCCGAATACCTCCTCCAACTGGTTCATAATCGACTGCAGTTGGCTCTGGATCTTGGCTATATCCTCCAGCTGATCCGCCAGGAAACAACACCTGGTCATGAAAACTCCTTGTCCCGGAGGGTTTCTACTCAGCTCCTTACTCTCCTCGATCACCTGTCGCAGCTCAACGTTTAGTATTTGATAGTGCGACCGGATGAAGAGCACTATTAGATAATGCTGCGAAGTGGCCAAATTCAGAATGGCCGACATCCAGTACTGCAGGCTTATGCCCAGATAATACTGGGGATCCACGCGACCCAAGGCATCCAAGGTGATTATCACCTGCAGAAAGTCGGTCACAACTCCGGTGAAGAACTTGACGAGAACCCCCAAACGGGATATCTTCTTCAGCTGCGGACAGTTTAAAAACAACTGAATCACGTTTCTTGCCAAGTCCATCATCTGACAACGCTGGCGCCATCTGTTGAGCACCGTGACCAGCCCTAAAAAATAATATAAAAATTAAATAACAATATACCAGAGTTATTAAAGCAACCTGCAACAATTTTTATTCCGGTCATTATAATGACAACATATTCGTGCAGCTTGTTTGCTTTTCCAAAGAACAAATTCATCATATTTGTAATTCCGATCCAGTGATAACTATATAGAATGAACATGGTGGAGTTGATCGCGATGGCGTAGAAAGTAGTCCACTTGGCAGCAAAGACCCGACCTGTCCGCCAATCGAACTCAAAGTTGCTAACACCAATCAAGTGACCATAAAAGTAGACCACCCGCAAAACCCAACTGGCCAAGTCGACCATTTCGTAAAACTAAATTGTTCCTCGCAGCTGTTTGCCCGGTAATCCTCATTACATTTTGGTATCGACCTCCATCAAAGATTTTCTGAATTTATCGGATAAGAGCAGAGGCCTCCTGGGTAATATTTAATTAAATTGTTTACTCTTGGTGTGTTTCAGTGATGGCATTAACCAGGGCATTGGTCTGCTCAAGATAAAAAGCTTATTACCGTATACAGTGCGGTTCGAACCAATATTGATTTTCCGGTTAAAAATAATACTGTCATTATGAGGAAACAATTAATTACCTAAATGCAATAAAATATATACAGGTTTTTAATGATATTACATTTTTTAATTCCCTTAAATACATAATTATTTCTAAAAGTTGTCTCATTTTAAATTAGAACAATTAAAAGCGTTCTTAGATTTGGCCATAATAGAGCTGCGAGTAACATCACATAATTGCATTACATTTAATTTTAAAGGATTCCGTATTAACTGTAGTTTAAGGGGATCCCCCATTCTCGATTTCAAATTTTTACGATTTTCAATGGGCTGGTAAATGAACATTTATTATTTTTTTGGCTTGTAACTATGCATCCATTTAGTTGAAGTCTTAAAAAATAAGAACAAAATGTAAGATATTTTTTTTTTGTTTTTTTTTGTCATTGAACAACAGCCCTTCTTTTCGGCGGCGCATGGGATTTCAGCTCACTGGGAGATCTGAAACCAAAAATTCCAACGGAATTAGGAAGAGTACATATATAGCTATAGCATGAACTAGGATTTTTAAAATCGCACAAAAATTAACAAAATGGCGGTCCTTTGAACCTTTTTTTTTGAAAATCGCCTTCTTTTTAGCCACAAATCAAGTTAAAAAGTAAAGAAGATCTTCACCGATTTGATTTAACCTAGTTCATGCTATAGCTATATATGTATAGAATAACGTAATAAAATTTGGAACCGATTGGATTAAAAGTTTTTGGGTAACTTCATGCGCCACTCGTAAAAATTATTTTTCGAGAAAAACGCGTTCATAGTTTTGAGAAGCTATTGCCGTTAAAGTGTGGAGCCTGCTGGCTATTAAGTAAAGGTACAAACATCAAAATGTAGATCGTGCATTCTTAAGCTGTTAATAGCCGGAATAAATGAAATACTAAATACCAACACAACTTTATATTTATACAAAAAAAAGTTGTACCAGTTTACTATTCCTAAGATAACGACAAATATTTCCCGAGCTACAAAAGGAAATTCGTACCATGTAACCAGATATACATACCAAATGTAACATATTTTTTTTTTGTTTTTTTTTGTCATTGAACAACAGCCCTTCTTTTCGGCAGCGCATGGGATTTCAGCTCACTGGGAGATCTGAAACCAAAAATTATGGTGTACCAAAAATAAACAAGATTTAATATTGATAGGGAAACATTTAATACGGTTTTAAAAACCGGTTTTATGTGCTTTTTCATATGTAAATGTTGTGCGTGCAGAAGCGTAAGTATCGAAATATAATTTATTAGCAGTTTTCAATGTCATACTGGATAAGCACTATTGAATGCGTAATAATAGATCCCAACATTGCAGCGCTGTAGATCCGAGTAATCGGAAATAATTTCATGATGGTAATTTCAACAGGGCTTCGAACTATTTGCAGCTGGAGGCTCTCAAGCTACGATAAATTTAAAAAGTTAAAAAATATGTATAATATAGCATATTTTATCATACAGATTGTTCAAGACGGACATCCAAAACAGATCCAAACAATGTACGTTCCTCCATTTGACGCCAAATCTCCTTATCATCATCTAATACATTCAGCATAATGGAAAGATTGATGAAGACATCCATATAGTAAGCGAATGAGGTTGTGAAACCCACTATAAAATCTTTAGTTGAACTATTTATATTATTATAGATCAGGTAAAAGAAGTACACCGACCATAGGTAGTTATCGCAAGCGATCATTCCCCACTGGATCCCGAATACCTCTCCCAGCTGGCTTATTATTGACTGCAGTTCACTTCGGAGCTTGGCTATGTTATCCACCTGATCTGCTAAATCACAACATCTGGTCATTATAAACGCCCTCCGATGGGGAAGCCGACTTAGGCTCCTGCTCTCTTCAAGCACCTTTCGTAGATCCGTGTTTAGAACATGATATTGGGCGCGAACAAAAAGCATTAGCAATGAATTCTGGAACAGTGCCAGATTCAGAATGCATGCAGCCCATAACTGCAAGGCCAATATAAAGACTTGAGCGTAGCTTACTCGCTTCAATCCATTCACAACCAGGACAATTTCCAAAAGAACAGTTGCACAACCTGTGAAGATTTTCCAGTAAATACTCCAGCGAAAAAATCTCATTATCTTCGGACTGGCCGAAATTAGTCGGATTATGATTCTGGTGACCTGCATTATCTGGGTGCGTCGGTACCATCTATTGAGTACTGTAACAGCCCCTGAAAATTGCAAAAAGGTAATTAGTATACATATATATTATATTTTGAACTAGCATTTTTTTCTACCTGCCGTGATCCTCAGACACATGAAAACAAAAACAACAGTTGAGTACAGTTTGTTAACGTTTTTAAAAATGACATTTAAATTGATCGAACAATAAACGAGGCCAGTAAAAATTGCGAAGTTGGTCGTTATGAAGTACAACGTACTTCTCCAGGACGTGAAGACGCGTCCTGTCCGCCAATCGAACTCGAAATTGCTCAAGCCTATTAAATGGCAATAAAAGTAGACTGCCCTCACCCAATCGACCATTTTGTAAAACTAAAACAGTCGTCGATGCGACAACCCTGCGAATGGGATACTATTTTATAATGCGTTGACTGACATTGAAATATGGCCCTCATTCCGAACGAAGATTGTTCCGATCAGATTGGAGACCAACAAGCTATTATTTCATAGTTTTTTGTGTAGGAGGTATAATTGAAAACAAGAAAGGAAGCAAACTTCGACAAGCCGAAGTTTATATACCATTGCAGTTATTACAGAACGACTACATTTCGATTTATATGCCTACATTACTAAAAATAATGACGGACTAGTTTGCGTAGAAACGGACGGACAAACATGGCTAGATCGACTCTCCTGTTGATGCTGATCAAGAATATATATACTTTATAGGGTCGCAAAATGTCTCTTTCACTGCGTTGCAAACTTTTGACTGAAATTATAATAATACCCGCTGCAAGGGTATAAAAACCCGGAACTTAAAAAGCTTACATACTGGCCAAGTAAGTCAGCGAAATCAAAACTAATCTAAGAACAAAGTTATGATAAAAGTATTCGAAAAGGTTTTTTTGTTCTTACTGAGGCAAAATAAGACGCACAATATAAGAATACCTGTTTTGTGCAGCAGACGACCAAAGCTATCGATTACAGGTTGATTTGGAAAAACTATTTTAATTCATCGCACTAACAACGTACTTTTTGTCGGAAATTAGGCAAAAGTTTAAATTTCTTAGCTGCGACCGCTAATTAATTTTAAATTTAAAAACGAATTCAACGCTCTTTAATCTTTCCTCGACTTAAAACAATATGCAAAAGGCGTATTATCTCCTTGTAATCATCAAGGAAATAAAGCTTAAGGTATTTATTCATACTTTTCATATACGAGCCGGAATCAGATGATATGTAGTATCCGCAAATTCCTTATGATAATACCTTCCAACTGATCCGAACAATTCCAAGACTTTACTTGAGCACGAGTCGGAACACCATGTTTATAAGCTAATAATAACTATGAGATAATAGTGTAATATGAAGAGGTTCGCAATGGACACAGCCCACAACTGAAAGCAAATGACACCTATTAGCGCTGAATAATTCATTTTAAACTAAAATTATTTTAAGCAACATCACATCATCCTTATAGCGGGCAAAAGTGGACAACATACTTGAGAAAATTTTTTGTTTTGCCAAAAGATCAATCAATAATCGAAGGAAGTAAAAATTTTTAAAATAACATTGTTTAAATAAATGGTTAAAATTGTTGTACCAGTTTACTATTCCTAAGGTAATCCCCTAACTTTTCCCAAGCTGGAAAAATATGTGCGTACGATGTAACTAGATATACCATGTTAGCAGTCAGTTAGTGACCAACATATAAAGACAATATTTTAGTTTCTAGTAATAGTGAATTTATTTAATACGGTTTTGAAAATTGGGTTTTAATGTGCCTTTTCATATGTATTGTTTTTGAGTGCAAAAGTGTAAGTGACGAAATATTAATATTAGTAATTTTCAATGTCATATTGGATAAGCACTATTGAATGCGTAATAATAGATCCCAACATTGCAGTTCTGTAGATCCGATTAACTGGAAATAATTTCATGACGGTAATTTCAACAGGGCTTCGAACTATTTGGAGCTGGAGGCTCTCAAGCTAAAAAAAAATTTAAAAAGTTAAAATATGTGAATAATTAAGCTGATTTTATCATACAGATTGTTCAAGACGGACATCCAAAACAGATCCAAACAATGTACGTTCCGCCGCTTGGCGCCAAATCTCCTTATCATCATCTAATACATTCAGCATAATGGAAAGATTGACGAAGACATCCACATAGTAAAAGATGCACGAAATTAAGCCCAGTATAAAAGCTCTAGTTAAACTATTCGTTTTAACTTGATCATATTTGAAGAAGGTATAGATCAGGTAGAAGAAGTACACCGACCATAGGTAGTTATCGCAAAAGCCCAATACCCACTGGATCCCGAATACCTCTCCCAGCTGGCTTATTATTGACTGCAGTTCACTTCGGAGCTTGGCTATGTTATCCACCTGATCTGCTAAATCACAACATCTGGTCATTATAAACCCCCTCCGATGGGGAAGCCGACTTAGGCTCCTACTCTCTTCGATCACCTTTCTTAGCTCCGTGTTTACAATATGATATTGGGCGCGAACGAAAAGCATTAGCAATGAATTCTGGGACAGGGCCAGATTCAGAATGCATGCAGCCCAAAACTGCAAGGCCAATAAAAAGACTTGAGCGTAGCCTAAGCGATTCAACTCATCCACAAGCTGGACAATTTGGAAAAGTGCAGTTGCAAAACCAGTGAGGATTTTCAGGTAAATACGCCTGCGAAAAAATCTCATTATGTTCGGACTGGCAAGATTTAATCGGATTAAGGTTCTGGTAATCCGCATTATCTGGGTGCGTCGGTACCATCTACTGAGAACCGTAAAAGCCCCTGAAGAAGGCAGAAAGTTAATATATATTTTTTGTAACTAGCATTTTATTTCTACCTGCCATTATCCTCAGACACATAAACGATAAAACAGTGGCTGAGTACAGTTTGTTAGCGTTTTTAAAATTCACATATAAATTGGTCCAACAATAAACAAGGCCAGAAAAAATTGCGAAGTTGGTCGTTATGAAGTACAAAGTACCTCTCCAAGACGTGAAGACGCGTCCTGTCCGCCAATCAAACTCGAAATTGCTCAAGCCTATTAAATGGCAATAAAAATAGACTGCCCTCACCCAATCGACCATTTTGTAAAACTAAAACAGTCGTCGATGCGACAACCCTGCGAATGGGATACTATTTTATAATGCGTTGACTGACATTGAAATATGGTGCTCATTCCGAACCGAGACTTTTGTGATCAGATTGCAGACCGCAAGCTATTATTATACCCTTGCAGAGGGTATTATAATTTTGGTCAAAAGTGTGCAACGCAGTGAAGGAGACATCTCCGACCCTATAAAGTATATATATTCTTGATCAGGATCACCTCCTAAATTGATATAGACATGTCCGTCTGTCCGTCTGTCCGTCTGTCTGTTTCTACGCGAACTAGTCTTTCAGTTTTAAAGATATCGAATTCAAACTTTGCACACACCCTTCTTTCCTTTGCACGCAGTATATAAGTCGGAACAGCCGGGATCGGCCGACTATATCCTATAGCTGCCATATAACTGATTGATCGGAAATGCCATAACTTTGGTGTTTATTAAGTTAGGAAGTTGGGATTTTTTATGAGTATTAAGAATGCATCATACGAATAATTTTGGAGAATATAATTTGCAGAATATTCTACAAGGGTATTTCAACTTCGGTTCCGCTCGAAGTTAGCTTTCCTTTCTTGTTTTTTATTATACCCGTTACTCGTAGAGTAAAAGGGTATATTGTATTCGTGCAGTATGTAAAGTAAAGTATGTAACAGGAAGCGTTTCCGACCCTATAAAGTATATATATTCTTGTTCAGGATCACTAGCCGAGTCGATCTAGCCATGTCCGTCTGTCCGTCATACCCGTTACTCGTGTTGTGCAAACATTTAGACTTTGATATACACAATACTATTCAAGAATGTATGTGTTTAGCCAATATAAGTATGTATGTACATATGTTTAATATTTCTAGTCAATTTATTGCACTCAAAAACATAAATATAAACACAGCTGCTGGTGCAGGACAAAAGCTGCCTGCGCTAAAGCAGCGCTGGTGCTGATGCTCGTGCTGTAAAGCTGCCAGCTCTAAGAGTTAGCCGAATTCAAATTGATAATTTGAACTTTTTTAGCTGAGTAACGGGTATCTAATAGTCGAGGCACTCGACTATAGCGCTCTCTCTTGTTTTTTTTTTGTGTCGGAGGTATACTTAATAGCTGGACCTTTAAAGCTGAATTTTTCTAAAATTATTTGTATTTCTTTAGAAAAGCTTATATACTGGTCAAGTAATTCAGCAAACTAATCATTAAATAAAGTAAAGAAAAAAGTATTTAAAAAGGTATTTTTTGTTCTAGATAAGCCGAAATACGACTGTGTGCATTTAATGACCAATCGATTTTCTCATTTTTCATAAGATGGAGCCATCATGATTATTGAAAAAATAACTTTTTTTAACGTTGCAAGCCAATCTATTTAAAGGAATTGATTAATTTAACCAATAATGTATGTACGAAAACAAAAATTTTATTGGACATAAAAAATTGTAAATGACTGCCAATGGATTAGGAGTGTGCATATACTTTTCTTAATCGGCGGGACTCTTAACTATGGATAAAATCAGGCTTGCGATGCTTTGGTAAAGTTTGTATGTAACCAGATATACCATATAAACTGCCAGTAAGAGACCACAAATTAAAAACAATATTTTAATTTCTAGTAATTGTAATTGTGAATTAATTTAATACAGTTTTAAAAATTGGAATGGCACATCTTTATATGTATTGTTTTTGAGTGCAAAAGTGTAAGTGAAGAAATATAAATATTAGTAATTTTCAATGTCATATTGGATAAGCACTATTGAATGCGTAATAATAGATCCCAACATTGCAGCGCACTCGATTCGAGAAACTGAAAATAAATTCATGACGTTGATTTCAACAGGGTTTCGAGCCATTTGAAGCTGGAGACTCTCGAACTACGAGAAAAATTTAAAAGGTTAAAAAAATGTGTGTAATTTAGGTGATCTCAACATACAGATTGTTCAAGACGGACATCCAAAACAGATCCAAACAATGTACGTTCCTCCATTTGACGCAAAATCTCCTTATCATCATCTAATACATTCAGCATACTGGAAATATTAACAAAGACATCCATATAGTAAACGAAGGAGGAAGTGAATACCAAGACAGAAGCTTTAGTTGACATTTTCATATTCACTTGACCATATTTGAGGAAAATGTAGATCAGGTACAATAAGTACACCGACGCAAGGTAGTTAATGCCGTAGACCATCAACCTCTGGATCCCGAATATCTCTCCCATCTGGATCACTATCCACTGCAGTTGACTTCGGAGCTTGGCTATGTTATCCATCTGATCTGCTAGATCACAACATCTGGTCATTATAAACGCCCTTCGATAGGGAAGCCGACTTAAGCTCCTGCACTCTTCGATCACCTTTTTTAGCTCCGTGCTTAAATTATGATATTGCGCCCGAACAAAGAGCAGTACCAAATAACTCTGGAATATGGCAAGATTTATAATGGCTGAAGTCCAACACTGCAAGATGAATGATAAGACTTGATCGTAGTTGAAGCCATCGAAGTCTTCCACGAACAGGGCGATTTTCAAAAACACATATGCAAAACCCAAGAAGATTTTGAAAAAAATACTCCATCTGAAAAATCTATTCATCTCCGGACTGTCCAGAATTAGTCGGATTATGGTTCTGGTGATGTTCATTATCTGGGTGCGTCGGTGCCATCTATTAAGTACAATTAAAACCCCTGAAAAATGCAAAAAGTTGAGTTAAATATTTTCTAACAAGCATTTTTTCCTACCTGCCATGATCCTCACACTTATCAAAGCTAAACCAACATTTGAGTGCAGTTTGTTAACGCTTTCAAAGATCACATTGAAATTGGTCCAACAATAAACGAGGCCAGTAAAAAGGGCGAAGTTGGTCGTTATGAAGTACAAAGTACTTCTCCAGGATGTGAAGACGCGTCCTGTCCGCCAATCGAACTCGAAGTTGCTCAAGCCGATCAAATGGCAATAAAAGTAGACTGCCCTCACCCAGTCGACCATTTCGTGAAACTAAAACAGTCGTCGGAACCCCAACGAATGGGATACAATTTTTTTAAACTGCGGTGACTGACATTGAAATATAGTGCTCATTCCGAACGGAATATTTTTTCTGATCAGATTGGAGACCGACAAGCTATTATTTAATAGATTTTTTTGTGTCGTAGGTATAATTGAAAGCAACAATGTACATTTTTTTAATGTACATTTTTAGAAGTTCAAAGGTGATGCACAAATGCGAAGCTATAGGAAATTTGGCATTTTTAAATATAGATATTTAAAGTTGTACGAATGACTGCCTATGGATATTTCAAGTTGTACGAATGACTGCCTATGGATATTTCATAGCTTCAAGAGTTTTGGAGTGTGCAAATACAGAACTCTAGGACATCCGCACTGATGATTAACACTCATTATGTGATTCTTAATCGGCTGGATTTTAAACTGTCGATCGAGTAGAATTTGCTATGGTAATGAAGATTTATTACTTCTCAAATACCTGATATAATCTAAGAAAGGCATTCAATAACTAATTTAAAAATATGCTAAAATTTAATAATAAATCTTCCGAAAAACCGTGACTGTATTAAAATAATTACTTTATTTTATTTATTTAATAAACAATTACTATTTTAAAAGGTAATAGTAATAATATTTCTGTAGAAAAGCATTAAAAGGTTGAATCAACTTAAAAGTTTTCCAAGTCATATTGAATAAGGAATATTGAATTCGTTATTAGAGATCCAAACATGACCGAAGTAGAACTGCGAGTAATGGTGAATGTTTTGAATATTTTTATTTTGAACGGGTCCCGTATCATCTGCAGTTGCATACTGTCAAACTATAATACAAAAATACTAAGATCAATAATAAATTGGTAATCGTGTTAAGAGAATCTTACAGTTTCTTCTAGACGGACATCCAATCGAGAGGCAAATATTGTTCGCTGATCCAGTAGACGAATCATCTCCTTGTGATCATCAATTAAATTGAGTGTCATGAACAGATTGAGGATTGCGTCGAGGTAGAAAAAGAAGCTCCAAGTGAAGGACAGGATCATCATTACCAAAGTCATCTCCAGATTTTCGTAGCCATTTTTAAGGATACTGTAGGTGAGGTAGGCGGTAGCTATCGATAATATATAGTATCCGCCGAACACCATTAGACCTTGTAATGCGAATACCTCATGCAACTGAGTCACAGTTGACTGCAGTTGAGTTTGGAGCTTAGCTATAATTTCCAACCGATCCGACAGAGAACAACACCTGGTCATGAAAGCACCCTTTCGCTGTGGATGGTTACTTAACTCTTTGCACTCTTCAATCACCTGACGCAGCTCCCTGTTTAGCAGATGATAGTATGCCCGAACGAAAAGTATTACTAGATAATGCTGCGAAGTGGCTAGATTTATAACGGCCGACATCCAAAACTGCACAACCATCGGTAGAATTTGATTGGCTTCCGAATGACCCATTGCATTCCAGGTGATTGCCATTTGGAGGAAGTCGGTGGTGCAGGCAAGGATGAACTTGATAAGAATATCCCAGCGGGACATCCTTATCACCTGTGGTTTTTGCAGAAATATACGAATCACCATCTTGGTCAAGCGCATCATCTGGGTCCTTTGACGCCATCTGACGAGTATGGCGGAAAACCCTGAAAAATGTACAATTAATTAATAATGTATATTCTTATGAAATTATTACGTTATTCAATTCAAATTCAGTTTTGTATACTGACTTTCAAATTATATTAAGAACAAATACTAGGATATTAAGTAAGCATTATTAGCAAATAATCAAACCTGCTGCTATCCTCATTCCTAGTACAATAATGAGAACATATTGGACCAGCTTGTTTGACCTGCCGATAATCATATTGAGATCCAATTTCTTGGTACTTTGTAAAATCAGAAGCATAAAAATAATGGCATTGATCGCAATGGCATAGAATGTGCTTCTTTTTGCTGTGAAAACGCGTCCAGTCCGCCAGTCGAATTCAAAGTTGCTAAGTCCAATTAGGTGTCCATAATAGTAGACTGCCTTTAATAACAAACCGGCCCAGTCGAACATTTTTGCAAACTAAATGGGTGCTCGATTTTGCTGTGCCTTTGCAATGGCTTCCACAAACCTAATGTCCTGATCCCAGACACAGATTCGAAGTGTCCCTCATTTAAGGTGAATGACCTTAAAAAAAGGGTTCAGAACATCGCTGTGTTACATTATGCATTGCCTTCTAATAAAGTTTGTTTCATTTGTTCTGAAGCCAAAAACATTGTTAAATATATTCTAAATTTTGAAATGGATTTTATACAACATTTAATTAATGATAGTTTAAAGAATTGTTGAATACAAAAAAATTATGATTTTTACTGTCAAAATATTAGCGTTCTGGATAAAAGCATTGTTATAAAAAAAGGATGCGTCATTGAGCTTTCCCTTTTTGTCGTCATAAATCAAATGGTAGCCGCAATTAAACGTCACACACTGAATCATCGAATTCGTAGGGTGAAAAGGGACGGTTTTAGTGTGGGGCATGACCACACTTCGTATTGCATTTCCGTTAGTTATTCATGGTCAATAGACGTGGCCCACACGGGCAGAAAAACAACCAACTCCCCGAAAAGGCTGTTGTTTTTGCGCGGGTTATTGCATTAACCAATGTGTTTATGCTGCAATTTCACGCGGTTTGCCCACAATTCGGTCGGTTGCAAGGGGTTCAGTGGGCTCACAACGCTTTGGAATAATTTATGCAATCATTCCAACCTCCCATTATTGCGCATTATCTATTCGATTGTAATTTAGTTGATCAATTTAATTTCATTTAACAGCAAAGCTGCTATATAAAACACTCAAAAAAAAATCTTAAAACTTATGGAAGGCATATTAATTTGAAATACATACCAAACCAATTTTAAATTTTATTTGTATAAGTTATAAGCTTTTTTTAGTATAAACTCTCACTGCCAATTTAAATAAAACTATAATTATTGTCACCTATTACAAATAAATGATTTTAAATTATTAAAAGCTTTAGTTTTCCCTCAAAATGTTTAACGAAAGCATAATAACAAAAGGCTATTTATGAAAAAACTTTTTTAATACATATCTGCACAATAATTTACTGTGTTCAAAATATTAAGTTAAGATTTTTTTCAAAATGCTGATACTGAGGACTCGATCAGAGTAACACGAAATTATCGCTGCCACGTAAGCATGTGCGTGGCACTTTTATCAAATTTACGCTTATTGCATTTTAATTAATTATAAACAGGTAATTATGGTAAACAGACTGGGCCACAGCCGTCCCATAAAACGGGGCTTACAAACATTACCAATTTACGAGCCTTGGCAGTACGGCTAAAGTGCCGCTCTGGGACGGGTAATTCGTATATAAAATTAATTTAAAACACGCCACAAGCCCTTTCGCCATCCCCTTGTAATGCCATTTCCATGGATCTCCTCTGTTTTACTGCAGTTTTTAGTGGCTGTAGTCGTTCAATGCCTAAATGCTTCCGCCATAAATTTTTGCATAATGCGCCCAAGTGTTAATAATGAGCGTGCAACTATGTGTTTTTAGGGGAAGAAGTAATTGGGGTAAAGGTAATCACTTGTGGAACAGGGTCCTGAATATTGTACTGTCCAACTTATAAAACAAAAATGTTTGGTATTTTCCTTACTAGAAAAGTAAAGCATAATATTCAATATATTAATAATTTCGTCGTTTTAAGTTGTCTTTTGATTATAACGTTTAAACCGTAACTAATTTAAAAACAGTAAAATATTTCTGATGGGCGCACATTTCCATATTCGCCATTGCTTGTTTTTGAGCACTTGTATCCTTTTAGGTGCGCCATCGATATTTGTGTCTTTCTATCATCCGGTTTCATCGAAGCCCTGGAATTGCCAGAGAATTCCGGACGCAGGCGGATCCTCCTTGCATAGTACCCAAACTTTTCATCTCCGTACTTTTCCAGACTCTCAGCATATATAGACGCGTACTGGGAGTAGTACTCCCTCTGGGCCACCGAAAACCAGGAGCTATACTGCTGCCAATTGTTACGAGTTTTCTGAATCTGAGTGGCCACCACTCGATGGTGCTTCAGCTGATCCACGAATATGATTTCGTCATATTCCTTCATGTTTTACAAAAGAAAAACTAAAAAAAAGTTCCAAGCCAAGAAGTTAAAATAGTAGCCAAAAATATAATGTATAAATACACTTTGCAGTTTTTTTTTGAAATTTTTTTAATCGTAGGTTTTTGCTCTTATTAAGGATGTGAAAACACAGTGTCAGGCGGAAGTATATGTTAAGGCCTGCTTTGATTTTCACTATTTATTTTGTTTATAAAGATAGTCAAAAATTGCAAACACTACAGACTTGGAATTAAAAAAGCTTCTAAGCAAACTGATTATTTAATAAATGAAATAAAGTGTAAGCAGCTTGCTAGATGCGCCCTTTTCTCCCCAAAGTCTTAAGAATAATTTATAATGGTGTCTGATGTTTTTGCTTTGCTTTGTCATTGATTTAATTTCAATTTATATCTGAGCTGCCAAAGGGCATGCAAAATCAAAGCAGAAAGGGGATGCCAGGCAACACAAATAAATAAAAGAGACCAACCGGAAACGGAAATGAGCTCCTCATTGAATAAAAAGACCTTCTCTTTGCTTGCTTTTCTGGACTTAATTTATTTCTCATTTTCATGTTCAGTTTTACAAACTAACTTGTTTTTTATTCTTTTTGTCAAACATTTGATTTTATAATACTTACAAATAAATGCTAAACTGAAATGTTAACATTGATGAAGGTTAATGAAGGAAGGTTTAGTTCTTTGACTTAGATAAAACCAACAAGGAAGTTTTTTTTGCAGCCACTTGTTGGTTTGGTTTCTGGTTTAGTTATGTTTTCATTTTTTATTTTTAAATTTACAACACGCACAAGATTTACTTAGATTTAAATGTAGGTTATGCTTGGAGAGTTGCCGAGGATTTTTCCTGCTTAGATCCTAAGTAAATTTGAGTTCAAACGTTGCTGGCTATGTACAAGAAACATTCATTTTGGCTAAGTTTGAAGGGTTTTTCCCCCTGCCAGTCGATCAATGCCAAGCTGAGATGGCCAAGATAAATTTGGGCAAGACCTGCAGCTGTTTGCTGGCCATTTGTAGCCATCGCCTTGCAGCCTTTGGCCCACAATCGAACGGCTTTGTATGCAAATGAGCCGTTGGATTGCATTTCTCACGCCCAGGTGAACCCGGTCGACATGCGATATATGAACCCCCCCTACCCTCAGTCCTCTCGTGAGTCATGTACTGCTTTTGGCCTTTTGTTTGCTCGTTGCTAACTTTGTTTGGACTTGAATGCATTCTAATGCGGTTTGTTGCGCATTTTCGCCTTTTGCATGTCTCCGACAATTTCCACATTTTTTCTTTGACCATAAACTGCCCGATACCCCCTTATAGGCGGTATCAGACCTCAGGGAACTCTGACTCAGTTTAAACCAAATTAGCATACACCAAAGGATTAGTATCATGCATATGACTAATCTCTCAAGGGGAGAATTTGTTACCACTTTGAAGGAATGACTCAGCTCGGAAAGTTGCTTAAATGTAACAACAATTTGGCAATTCTTATTTCAGAAAGATTTAAAAACTAGCCCTTAATAAACGGCTTAAAAATCTAATAGACCATTTTCAAAAAATACAAATATGGGAGCAATCAAATCATTTCGTGCAATTTAATTCTGGAACAGTTTGATTTTTTCGCCAAATAATATTTTGTAAGAACATTAAAGTGTAGAAGACGAAATACTTTGTTATAAATAGCTTTAATTATGGGAGATCATCAAGTCGTGGAAATAATTTAGGCCAGGTTTACACTGCACAATTATGAATTAAATATACTAAATTTTTCTTTTTTAATAAATTGCGTAGTGTACACCCGTCCTAAATCTTGTCTGCCATTAAAGGATCTAAAATACTTTGAAGAGGTGCATTGGCCGAACACTACCATATTCCGAGTTGGAAGTCTTGGATGCCTTATAGAAATTTATATGATCCATGGATATTTGTGAGTCCCGTGCCTGTCGATCTCTGTACGAATTGGTATTGACTCTATACTCCTCCCTCAGCCGATTTCTATTCGCATAGTACTCGAAGTGATCGTTGCCGTACGTCCTTAGACACTCCTTGTAAATCTGGGAATACCGCCCGTACAATTCCCTTTGAGCAGCCGGAAACCAGGAGCACCGCTCTTCCCAAGATCGACGGGTCTCCTCGATTTGGCTGCCGACAGATCGGTGGTGCAAAAGCTGATCCGTAAATATCACCTCCTCGTTTATCTTCATAATGTCGTCTTCTTTTTATTATTTTATTTTTTATTTTTTTTTTTGGTTTATTTATGTGTAACGCCTGTTAAAGACCTGACTGTTTCAGTTGTTGTGAAAGAATCTAAGTGACTAAAGAATCAGAGGGAACTACATTTTGTAATAAATTTTAAAAAGTATTCTAGAATTTCTTCAATTTGAATTTTTAGAAATATATTAATCGAGTCTTCATTAAAGAAGACAAGTAATCGAAAAACGAATTTGGATCATGAAAACCGATCTACTATTTGGTTGTCCCTGTTATATTTGGAAATAATAATTGTTGGACAATAATTGACTTGCTTCTGCAATCTTAAATAAATATGCAGCTTTATTTTTATTGGATTGTTTTGTTTACTATCAAGAATGAGTGATTGTAATTCGGGATATGACTCAAAATTTTTAGGACAAAAATATCTAAAAGCAATAGAAGAGTTGCATTGGCTTCACTCGGCCATATTCGTCATTTGAAGTAAGGGATGCCTTATAGCCCTTTAAGTGAGCCATACATCTCTCCGACTTTCGAGTCTCCCGATTTTTATATGATTTGGTATTGACTCTGTGTTCTTCCCTCAGGCGATTTCTTTTCAAATAATACTCGTAGTGATCGTTGCCGTACTTCTTCAGACACTCTTCGTAAATTTCGGAGCACCTCCCGTACAATTCCCTTTGGGCAGCAGGAAACCAGGAGCACCGCTCCTCCCACGATCGCCGTGTCTCCTGGATCTTGCTGCCCACAGATCGGTGGTACAAGAGCTCGTTCGTGAATATCACCTGGTCGTATCCCTTCATTACTTCAGTAAGTGTTAATTAACTTTTTTTTATGTTTTTTGAGTTATTTGAATAACGTGTTAACGGCGTGTGTAATACCTATTTCTGTTTCAAAAGTGATTAAATAGACTAAGGGTAGTGTCCCTTACAAAAAAACTTTTTCTAATTTTTAATAGATTAAAATGTTTTCTGATTTAAGCCCACAGAAGGTTAATTATAAACTGCAAAATTATTGGCTGACTTATTCAATTATAACAGGACTAAAATAGGCATAAAACATGCAATATATAAAGCTTTTAGAATACTTTTGAAACAAACAAATAATCGAAGGACTTTGAGGAACCCATCATATTATTAAGTATTGAAATGTCGTTTTAAAAGATTTATGTGGCTTATTCTTAAAAAACTGAGAACTCGCAGCTTGGCACTGATTGAACTGATTACATTCAGATACATACACACACTTAGATCGATATTTTGCCAAATTTTAAAGTTTTTAACTTGTGCAATCCTTGGCTTCTTCTCAGGCTATCTACAGGCTTTTGATCGAGTATCCATACATATACTATTTCTCTTTGAGGAATTTTTGGAATGCATTGCCCAATCTTAGCTTAGCTTACAATCTGCATGGTATTTTGTAAATATTATTTTTAATTTTATTTATCTTTAGTTTAATGCTTTAAAGTTTATGCTTTTTGCTTTACAATTTTCTTACACTTGCTTAGATTCTTAAGCTAATGAAAAGTTTGGTTGGGATAAGATTTAGAGTTGATTTGGTATGTAGATCAAAGTGCAAATATGTTTTTTTTACAATCGAAATGTTTGGTTGCTTTTGATATGCCCGAAGAGGGTGATAAAATGGAAAGGATAGGCAAAATCAGATTTAATTGGTTGAATCCAAATAATATCCTACATGGTTTTACTTCCTTTCGCTTTCAAAATGAAGAAAATATCACAAAAGATCAACGAATGTTTTGCCTAAATAACGATATCTTAATACTAGAGACAATTGCCTAATGTTACAAATAAATATTTACAGTTGCTTAGCCTCTTCTTAAATGCTCGCGTTTAGTAGTTACCATTTTGATATTTTTTGTATAATATCTGTCTCTTAATTAGGGTCTTTTTACCCATTTTCATGCACACATACATCGATTGAATTTCGAATTTAACCAAAGGTTATGATATAAATAATTCCTTTGGTTTTTGTCTTAAAGTTTTTGGCATAGGATATGTCTGCTTTGTCGAACGGCTTTGCTAGTTTATGGGCTGAAGTTTTTAAAGTCCTTATTCTTGGAATAGTTAACTGTCTCTCGGCCAGGTCCAATCTTGAAACAGCAGCAGCAGGAAAAGCGGCGGCAGTAATGCAATGAGGAAAGAGGGCAGTTTTGAAGTGGCAGCAGCTGGAAAAATAAACGTAATTAGTTTGGGCTCTTTAGAAATAAATAAAGTATTAAATTAGCAGATATACCAATCGTGCTGGACTTGGCGGCCACCGTCTCCCGAGATTCTAAGGCGGGAGCCCGCTGCTGGCGATCGCTTTCCACACTCTCCTCGTTGCTCTGCAGATATAGTGAACTGATCTTGGCCACGCACTGCAGGAGTATAAAACCAAATTAAGTTGAAATTGTACCAATTAATTATATTTATCCCAGCCCACCTTCAACTTCATGTCGCCGTGCTTGAAGTGGTAGGCCCTCACCCGGAACTCCAGTCCCAGGCGGGCCATCTCCAGTCCATCCCGATTCACCACCACCTTGTCGAACTGCCGCAGGTGGGCCTTCTGCACCGGTTCCCCGTTAATTAGCCAGCTCAGGTGACAGACGGGCTTGGACGGCGACGAGGTGCAGTTTACCCGGACGGTGTCTCCAATTTGGTAGCGTGGCTGGCCACCACTTATCTTCGGTCCGTGATTGGGAGTCACTGAAAGGAATCAATTTATCAATTTAATAATTAGTTTTAGGAAATAAACTAAGTATTTCAAGGACCTTACAATTTTGGAATTATCATTAATTCTGTAAGCAATAAGATTATTTCCACTCCTTATTTGGCTAATTTGCAAGCCTTTAATTTATAATAACCCTCAATTTTAGTTTCATTTAAAACCACTTTCTCTTTCCATATTTTCTGAAACATTTTTCCATATTTGTGTATTTTCTTATATTAGTCCGTTTTATTATTTACCGAAACAAAATCTTATTTTTCTTTTCCGACATTTATGACTGTTTTGGGTCAGCTAAGTTTTGCTGCACTTCAATTTAGTTTCCCCGAACTCCTCCCATCCAGCCTTACCTTGATCCTGCGACCATCCCCTCATTTGTAGTCTCGTCCGAGCTTAGTTATTTAATTTTAATGAGCCGGGGAAATTGAATATTTCCTAGACGAGAACTAGCTGCCCATTTTGTGCCACGTTCTCTACTTTTCCATCCACCACGATTTCCCACCCTCCTGGCTGTTTTATTATTTTATATGCAGCATCGCTTATTTGCCCCACTGCCCCATAAGTAAAATAAGGAAAGTGCGGAGGGGAAGGCAGTTGCCCCATGAAGGCTGGAAAAGCATTTCCAAGATTTATGTGGAGATTTTTGCCAGGCTGTGGGTGAATGTGAGAATGGGACAGAAGGTGGAACCCAGAACACAGGGAATCGAGAGAAAGAACTTTCGTTTTGGGCATACGAAATGCTTATTCAAAGTTTATTTGGCCATGTGGGTATGAGTCTGTCCTACAGTGTTATTCTGTGTGGGTGTTTTTCTTTTAGCACATGTAATCGTAATTGTGGGTGTGGGCTTATGGGAATGAGTAGGTTTTTAGAGGGGAGCTTCACTGGAGTGCCTCTGGCCATCACCCATTACCAAAGCCTTAAGGCATCTTTTCAAGCAAAACAAAATAATATACAAATTTAAGAAGAGAAAAGATCATATTAACAATAAAAAAGTAATTTGAAAAATTTTTTAAGGTAATTGTAACAAATGCTTGCATTCATTCATAATCTTACAATTTTCCAAAAAATTTGTTGTAATATTTTAATAAACTGCAATAGCTAAATAGTGCATTTCAACACACCTTAACGTAATCAATTATAAAATAAAAAAGATGTATTTTACTTAAGCAATTATAAAATAAAAATGATTTCTTTTTGAAAATATAGAAGTTTGTTCTTCTTAAAGTACTACATAAACCATCTCTATTGTCTTCAAATGCTCACTCCTTCTTTTTTGTATGCTCCTCCGCAAAACATGCACAGAAATAAAAACCAAGTCAAGTGGGAACAGGACCAGAATCAGGACTCCTCCTCAGGCGCTGCCCAAGTCCCCTATATCTCCCACCCGCCAACATCCTCAACTAAGTCGAGTGTTTTCTGTATGCATTAAAAATATTCGTTCATGCCAAAACCGAGAAAAATCGAGAAGGGAAATCTTCTTCCTCATAACATTGCGGCTGCTGTATACGTGTATGTGCCATAAAATAAAATTAATTTTTAATGGTTTTCAAAAAATTAATTTTCCTTAGAAGTCGCCGGGTGTTTTTGTTGTGGCTTTTGGTCAGTTTGAATGTGGATTCAGTGAAATCCAGTCCTTGCACTCAGAAAACCATTTTGTTAAAGAATATCACGAATGGGTAGATTGTGTGAAATATGCTTAAATAGTCTTGATTATAAAATATTCTAAGTGATTCTCACATTAAAAGGATATGATTTATTTATCAATTATTCATGTGACATATAATATTATACAATTTTTTTACTAATAAATTAGCTTTAAATACAAAACTAAACCAAATTCTTTTTTGAAGGTATGATTTTAAATCATTTTTACCCCCAAGGAAAATATTAATTTTTATAAATAATTTTTTCCTGAGTGTAAGCGTTCTGGGCAGGTTGCCGTTTTCCGGGATTGCATTTCCCTCTCCCGTTTGCTTATTTGTAATTTATAAAGTGAAGTTTACTTTGCTTTGGTTCTCCCCTCTCCCATATAAACTTAATTTGCTCCATGCAACTGACTTTCTGGGTGGAAAGGAGTAAAAGTTGGTAGAGAGGGTCGCACAAAAGCCAACCATGGAGCAATCTAAAAATCCAACTTGGAGAAATGCATTTTTGATAAACGCATTTTGAGAGATTGAAAATAGCATTCCCTGTTTTCACTTTGCTATTTTTAATTTCATTTGTTCCCTCCGACCTGCTGCAGTTGTCAAATATAGATATTATGGAATAAAACGATATAAAAACCATGATCATAAATCAGATTAGGCAAGTAAATAGTTAAGCTTCTGATAAATGCATTGTTTGTTTATGCAGTTTTAAGAAGTATTCAAAAATTAAAAGCTTGTTTGTGATTTTTTAATGAATAACTTATCATTGTACAATTCAAAATAAAATAACATAACATATAACATTAAGAACCTTCCGTTATTAAATTGTTGATTTTTTCTAGAATCTTTTTCCAGAAAAATTCAAACAAGTAAATCTTGGCCAAAAGTAGATAGCAACTTTAATTGATAGATGACCTAATAAATTCAACTTTATCTTATTACCCCGAAATAAGTTTCCAGCTAAGACCCAAAGTTTTTGGCTTCACCTGCGTGGATTAGGGTTATATTCGGATAATTGTTTATATACGTTATGTGAACATTTTTTAAGTCAACGCCATATTGTCGCACTTAAATTTTATTTTGCGGCATAAATCTAGTGAGACAAAACCGTGGAAGGAAAGGGGGCTCGAGGAGAAAAAAAAAGGGACACGTATGTCTGTATGAGTTGGCAATTTATTTTGGCCAGACTTAGCACGCAACGATAAAGGACACACAAAAGGAGGAGGGCTTGAATCGAGCCAGATGAGGAGAAAAATGTGAAGATAGGGAGGAAAACCCGCAGGTTACAGGACCTGCAATAAGCCGAAAACTAAAAGCTAAAAGGGAAATGGCCGAATGTCGAATAGCCACATGCTTCAAGTATATTTTCGGCATTTTCCTATGACTAAGCAGTTTCTGTTGTCGAGAAGAGTGGGTGATGGCGTAAAATGAAGGGAGGACACCTTTTGTGCAATAGCCAGAAAATAAAGAAACAAGTAAAAAACGTCTGTAGCACTTCCCAGCAGCAACAACGAGTACCTAGAATAGTAACAGCAAAAATAGACGCAAACAACAACATAAGAGGATACCAGACTAAGAATCTCAAACTTATAATACCCTGGATATATTTATACAATAAAAAATTAAAATATCTTTCTAAGAACCATTGATTCATTTCTTCAGATTCAAATCTTAAATAAGTAAATTTTATTTTTTTTCGCTTATTTGTTGAAAACATTTTGAGAAAAATAAACAGACGTTTTATTTAATATTAAAAGTAAGAGAATAAGAGAACTATACCGTGTGAAATTAATTTAAGTGATAAATAAATACTGTTAAGCCTTTTCGACTTATTAAATAAAGAACAAAACAACTGCATTGAAATAAATAATTTACCCCAAAAATAGGGAATGCATATTCAGAGCAACTACAGTGAGCACTAAAAGTGGGCGTCTATCTAGGTTTTTTCGAGTCTTTCCTGCTCAGTTGGTGGTCTTCTTTTAATACACTGCGGTATATTTTTTGTTACCAACCAACCTTCCATTTGAAACGCCTCCCCTCATCGCTCGAAGCGCACTTTGCAGCTTCTTCTGAGCAGGTGATAAGCCAGGTCAGGTGGTTGGGATTTTGGCAATGAGAGTGACGAGGGGTGGTATTTGGGAGCCCCCCTAGGCATTCAGCTGTTCTATTTGCAAAGGAACTATAGCTTTGGGGTGTGTGTGTGTATGAGTGTGGATTATGCACATGTTGAGCTCTTCGCTTAAGTGTTTTTTCTGCCTTCTCCTGCAAATCCTAAAATTGTTCACCATTTCTTTGCCTTTATCTTTATCTTAAATATTTTAATACATTTTTTCAGACATGATTCACACTCCGTTATATGAAATTTATACAATTCAATTGCTGGTGACAGTAGTCTGGTATAAGGGAAAATGCTAATATACGTAATAAAATTATGCAAAATAACAATTTGAAAGCAAGAGATATTCTAGACGGCTTTTTTCTTGTATATATATTTTTTTGTTTTCTATTTTGGTATTTTTCTTAAAGTTATTTTTCTCGCATTCATAGTCAAACTTTAAGTAATAATATGAAATGTGAAAAATATAGAACTAAATGGAATAAACACATTAAATTGTTATAAATAGCGAGGGTATGATAAAGCGTAAAATCACGACAGTGGAGCACTCGAAAAGAACTCCAGTCGCCACTCGACTTCTTCGTTTCACTTCCCATTTCCCCTTCCGTTTCACTTCCCTTGTCCCAGGAACTTCATGCTCCGTTTCATTCCGCCCATTCTCATCCCCTTCGAGTCTCGTTACCCCGTGACATTCCCCGTTTGTTATCTTTAATTTTGCATATGGCAACGATTTTTAATGCACGATACGAGTCCTTTCCCCTTTGCCTTCGGATCCTTCAGTTCAGTTGCGGCATGTTTGAGTTAAGACAACATTACAGTTACCGTTATTTCCGCGGCTCTTCCGTATCCTCATCTGCATCGGACTCTCCACTGCCACAGTGTGTCTGTGTGTGTTATGGTTGCAGAGAAAGGAAAAAAGTTTGGCGGAATGAAGTAAAACTAGTGATCGAAGGAATGAAAATCATAAATCACTTAAAAAATTAACCTTTGTGTTCAAAGAAAATAAAACTATGAAAAATAAAGAATTACAAAATGAATATTATATTTTAAATACTAAAATTAAAGCTGTTTTTTCATCATATTAGAAAAAGCCTAAACTGAAAAGTACTTTTGTTTTCAATCGTGAACATTTAGTTTACTTACTATATGAATAAAAGTATTTTCTAGAAGTATTTTGAAAATATTTAATTTATATATACTTAGTAAAATTGATTTTACAAGTTTCAATATCTTATAGAAATTTTCTGCACTCTTTAAGATATCCATTTCTCTTAGTGTATTTGCCGCGTATCGTGCGTTGTTTTATAATTAATGAGCACGCAAGGCTCTCAACGCTTGGCACATGTCCTGCTCTCTGCCCGATTTTCTGGGTGTCTCTTCGGGTCCTCATCCTGTTCCTGAATTTATGGTTAAGTGCACTTTAAAGGACAAACACATATATAACTCAGTTTTCCCGCTGAGTTTCTGCGCTTCTCATCCTATCTCGTTGTTTTGCCCACTCTTCTCCTCGAACACACTCACACACAGAAGTATAATGTGATCGCTTATCGATTTTACAATATAAAAAAGCAATTGCCTGCATAAAGGACCACGAACAGGACCCCTTACTTACAAACGCAAGCAACCTCCCAGCGGCAGGCAAAGTTAAATGTGATTTTTATGAGCTATGAGCGGAGCTTAGGGCGGAGAAGGCACTCGGCCATAATATTTATTGTTGCTCCTTGGCCTGGTCACACTAATGAGCTGTAAATTATCCAAAAGGAGGCCAAAGACAAGGCCCTCATTAAAGCTTAAAGTACACCCCGCGGAAATACAGAAGGCACAGTTTGAAAAAGGAAATAGCCTAAAGCACTTTACAATCATCTTGATAAAGGAGACAATCAAAACGAGGACGGAAGCTAACTTCGGCAAGCCAAAGTTTTAATACCCTTGCAGACTTAGCCGCAATTGCTAAAATTGAAAAAGTAGCGAAAAGAATAACAAATGTGTAAAATAATAAGCCCGAAGTCTTCTTAATAAAAAACATCAAATTTTGACCGATTTCACCCTATTGTTCCTATGGGAGCTATAGGATATACACGTCCGATCAGCACGAGCTTTTACCTTGATGAAGGAATGCCTAAAAAAATACGATTTGAAAAAATTTATGGTAATAGCTTTTACACTGCGCGAAATATGCTGAAAAACATCAAATTTGGACCGATTTTACCCTATTGTTCCTATGGGAGCTATAGGATATAGACGTCCGATCGGCACGCGCTTTTACCCTGATCAAGGTATGCATAAAAAAATAAGATTTGGAAAGATTTATGTCAATAGCTTTTACACTGCGCGAAATATCCTAAAAATCATTAAATTTTAACCGATTTCACCCTATTGTTCCTATGGGAGCTATAGGATATAGACGTCCGATCGGCACGCGCTTTTACCCTGATCAAGGTATGCATAAAAAATACGATTTGGAAAGATTCATGTCAATAGCTTTTACACTGCGCGAAATATCATAAATTCTTGCAAGATATATCCAATTGTTCCTATGGGAGCTATAGGATATAGACGTCCGATCGGGGCGATTTTCAAACTTGATCTGCGTACATATGTTTTAGGACGATTGTGAAAGTTTCAGATCGCTAGCTTTTAAACTGAGCTCGCAAACGGTATTGAAACAGACGGACAGACGGACAGACGGACAGACGGACAGACGGACATGGCTATATCGACTCCCCTATTGATCCTGATCAAGAATATATATACTTTATGGGGTCGGAAACGTCTCCTTCACTGCGTTACAAACTTCTGACCAAAATTATAATACCCTCTGCAAGGGTATAAAAACGATTAAAAAAGTATTTAAAAGAAATTGCTAATATTATATTAAATTAGGTAAGTTAGCTAAGCATTAACTTGGCTTTTTGTTTCAAAAGTTTCTGACTTAATATAAATATTAATAAGTTTATGAAAAATCAAAAATTAAATATTTTTAAATAAATCACAGCCCATAATTCAAAACCGCGAAAATCCTAACTTCAAGGGATTTTTAGTCATCGAAATGTTTCCGCTGACATTTTACGATCGCTAAATTAACATTGGCAACTCCCTTCGGGAACAATCGGCTTTCACTGGAGCATATTTTATGGTTCACTTGCATTAGCAGGACGAAGGTCCCAGTCCCCAAACTCTTACAAGCCCCCGTTTTCCCCATTCTCTGGCACTGCTGACACAGTTCTTGATGATGAGGTCTTATCCTACTCCACTCGGCTCCCATGTCCCCACTTCTTGCTTCAATTTGCAATGGCCACAGTTGGTTTACATTACAGGCAATACTGTATCAAAAGTACCATGTTTAAGACCGGTTTCTTGTTTTCGTGAAAAAATTGAAAGTAAGATTAAAACATAATTTTAGCACATCATATTGAAATCGGACATTAATTGCATTTTTCCATTTTAAGATATAAGATATCAGCAAATTGCATATCATGAACAACAACTGTAGCTTTCAATTTCTTGTTCTTTCATTCCTTTTTTTCCCCAAAACTTGTTCTCGATTTTCCTCTGCGACTTTGGTTCGAATATCGTTCAATTTGACTGCCCAGACACATTGTTTAATATGCAAAACCATTTCCCATTTCCCCGGCATTCCAATGCGTCTTCGGGCCAAGTGCGGCAAATCGGGGAGTGGGAGGGAGCTAAGGCAATGGCCAAAAGGAAAATCAGCATGAAATGTGCTTAGTGCGTGGGAGAGGGGCGTGGCCGCCTTTCTTGGCGATGTCCTGCTCCTTGTTGCCATAAGTTAATGCAGGTTCCAGCCCCAGGGCCTGCGGCTTCCATTGATGATGTCGGTGGTTCGATGTGCCTCGGTGGTTCGTCGTTGTCCCCGTGGGGATTCCCCTGCTTAGCGACTGCTGCCACTGCTGCGCACATATTGATAACCGTTTGATTCTTTTATGAGTTTATAAATTTGTGATTAACTTCAGGCGCAATCGGCAAACTTGATTGGATTCCGTGAAAGCTTCTATGAAATGTTAGTGGTATACAAAAACGAATGCTGAGGGCCTTGAAAAAGTGGTTAAATTTGCGAACAAGAAAAAATTCTATCCAAAAAAGTATTTCAGATAAATTAGTAAGTCTATTTATCTTTGAAATTCCAAGTTACACAATTTTTGAATACTGACTGAATGGATTTCTTTTCTAGATTGATTAAAAAGATATTTAATGATCCTTAATAAAAATTTATTGGTTTAACTAGCAATGGTTTAATTAGTCCCCTCAATGAAACTTTTGTCTATGCATTTCGGAAAAATATAGTACCATAAAGATCTTTCTAAACATGCTAATAAAAAATGCCAAAATGTTACAAATGGGAAAATCTTATTAAGCAAGTCACTACTTCTGCCTTATAATGTGATATTATAAATTAAATTGACTTAAAAGTCTTTTCCCCAAGTGTATTCGTTATTCTTCCCAAATCTAAAATTTGAAAGGACAAACGATCTTTTTTTGCCAGCCAGGCTCCGCCAGATGGCGCTTTTGTCTTAGCACAGTTTTTCCCCACTTGAAAGTCGGACATGAAAACATAATTTTACTTCAAAATTGCAATGACAGTGGCAGCCGGGCCACGCCCACCTCAGCCCACGACCACGCCCCTTCACTGTACACACATGTGCGCCTTTTGTTGGCACTGCGTTGACGTCGACTGCGACTGCAAAAATTCCATTTCAATTGTTTGCTTAGATTATGCAGTTGTATTAAGAGTAGGGTGGTACAAAAAAAGAAAAGACGAAATGGGGGGCAGAAATACAATATAGAGTCTAGGGTTGCCAAGGCGAAACGCAAAGAAAAGCGAAAAAATCCGAGAGGAGGATGAAATCCTTTAAAAAGCAGCGAACAAGTGGAAAGCGAGTGAGTTTACAAGGAGCCAGGGAGTTGAGACGACTCGACAATGCCATTTGCAACGCATTGCCATGTTGCATGAATTCCATTTACGGACTGCGACTGAAACTGGAGACTGGAGACTGGCGACTGGCGACCGGAGACCTGCAACTTGCAACCTCGACCAGGTGGTCCAGGTGAAAGAGCCCCATCGCAAACACCATCAGGATATGCACCACCTGCGGGAGGCAACCGCTTTAAAATGTCGCCTGCCTTTAGTTGCAACTGAGAAATGAGTGGGAAAACTCAAGGAATCTAATTTCATTAAGATGATTAATGTGGTTTGAAAAGTGTGGGATAAATTCTTCAACTTTAGCCAGTGAAATATTTAGAGCTATGAGGAAATTTATTTCAAATAAAAAAAATTCTGGAGAACGTGTAAATCGAATCGCTAAAAATAAATTGTAATTTCCTTTAACTAAATAGAATTCGTTTTTTAAAGTCTTAAAATCGTTGACAACTTTCAGTAAAATTATTCTTAGCAGTAATAAAATAAATATAGCTCTTGTTCTGGACTAATGGTTTATCCAACTCAAAGTTACTACTGTAATTTATAATTGCCAGCTTCTTGTTCACACCTTTTTTCAATTCTTAGGATATGTATATAATATATTTACATTTTCCCCCAGCTTTAAGAACCCCATGCTTGTGTTTCGAATTAAAGATATATCTCTCATGTCACTCTGCTGGCCACCTTAATATGTCATTCCCACTCCCCATATGGAAAAAGAAATCCTTGTGTGGCACGAGTTTTTGTTCGTGGGGAAAAGCATCAAAGATTCCTCGACAGAGAGCTGACAACCTGCATGCAATTTACATTCAGCAACCTCAGATTTCGGATGCCTCGCATGCGTTCTTAAATGCTTTCGCCTCAATTCGACTTTTTCAGTCCGGTGACAGGAGTTCGGAGTCCTCGGCTGTTATCCTTCAACTTGCCGCCGTCAATCCACTTCGGCTGCCTTTTGGCACCGCTTTTTATCCACTCCCAGCAATTATGTTGCACATTCCGGATGCTGAGCTCTGCATTCTGGTTTCTGCAACTCCAGATGCCGCATCACTTGCCACTGTCATTCACAACATTGTTGGCTGCCTGGCACTATTAGCATTTTAATTAAATTTTCTGCTGTCGCCTGTTGTCCAAGTGCCTCGCCTCCAGTATACGGTCGCATTCGGCCCACTTGCATCCACCTCCCTTATGTTAAACTCACCCACAACGTTCATGGTCTCCGACTCGGATACGGTGTTGAATGCGGGCGCCTCGCCGGACACCTCGCACCGATAGACTCCGGAACTCTGCAGCGTTACGCGGCGCAGGAGGATCTGGGTGTCCGAGGAGTTACGCAGCTGTGGGCGAAAAGTAGGGAGGTATTATTAAGGATTTTATTGAATTTTTACAGATATATTTGGGGATAAAGTTTTACTGACTGTGAGGCCATTGACATACATTAAAAAGAAAAACTTATCCTTGATTAATTTTATTTAATTTGTGTTAATATCTCTGCACTTTTTTTTTGTGCATTACAACAGTATATTTTGTATATTTGTATTTTGCATTGTTATAATAAAATATATTATTAAGCTATCTATCTAAAACTAAACTATAGACAAATCACAATTTTCCTAGAAGCTACTCTAATTTTTCAAACGAATATTTGTATTATTCCCTACATTCTGATTGCCATTTTCAATATTTTATTTTATTTAAAATGTAAGTAAATTAGCAATCACCCAAATATATACGATTTCAAATAACGCTTATTATTGTAACTTATATTTGCTTGTAAATCATAAATCAAACAAAGAATTTTGAGATATACGGCATTTACTTTCTCCATTTTTCAGTAAAGAAACCAAGCGAGATAAATTGCGTGGCAATGAATCGACACAAAATCAAACGCAATTAGAGTTCAAGATTTTTCTTCGGATGATTTTTAACATTCACAAGTTCAACCCAAAATGAAGATTGATGATGGGAAAGCCAGTTTATTATTAGTTCAGCCACACTGTAGGCGGAAAATGTAATTTTCTCAAGGGTCGCAGAGAGAAACCAGAAGAAGAAAAACAAAAGTCAAAAACCAAAAAGTCGGAAGAGCCAAGACCGAAAAACCAAACAAGCAAATGAAAATGAAATATCTAGAAACAATCGCACAAGAGTCTGAATAAAAGATGGGAGATACGCATGTGAGGGCGGTATGTTGAAAAAGTCACTTGCACAGTTTTCCTTTTTCATTTTCCCTGGGCAACAATTGCAGTCAAGTCAAGTTCTTTAAGTTGCACTTTTATTATCGCACAACGCACACACACATGCGGTAAGAAAGTTTCATTTGATTCGAGCAAATTTTTATGAAAATTCTTTGCTCTCGCTTTGTGCTTCCCCCTGGCCACATTTCACCCACTCCCTTTCTCCGGCATGAACAATCACAAAAGTCACGTTCAACATTATTTTTGGTTTGTAGCTTGTTTTCGGCTGTCGCCTCCCCCTTAACCCTTGGCTGCCCCTTCGGTCCTTTACAATGACTGTGGACCGGCTTTTGTTTGTTGCCTTCTTGGCAGTACTTAAGCCGATTCTTCTTCTCATTCTGCAGCTGCGTCTTCGTCTTTTTGCCAATTCTTTCGGCACGCTCAAGTTGTCAGCACCCCCTTAAAAATTTAGCTGAGGGGGTCGTTTTACAGGGCAGTAAAGGGGGTTAGGGAAAGCTGGGGTGGGGGGAAGAATGGTTGTGCTCGCCAAAAAACCAAATCTAACCGCAATTCAAATTGCAGTCTCCCTTTATTGCTTTCTCGTCGCCGTCTTAACCCCCTGCTGCCCGGAACATGCGCGGCCATTTCGCTCAAGACTGCAGATTGAAGTTGTTATTTGTAATTCCAAATTCGGTTTGGCTTAAAAGAATCAGCGCTCTAACCTTGTTTGTGTTGCTCTGATTGAAGTGGTCAACCCATAAAAGGGAGCCATATTCCACAGCGGAATAACTGAAGGTTTCAATAAGGAAAACATATTTCAGATGACTAAGTCTGTCGGGGATGAGGATAAATTCCACTAAGGTAAGGCCTTCAGTTTAATAAAGTAACTTCAGAGTTAATAAGCAAGAAAATATGAAGATATTGTATTTAATATTGTCTTAAAGGAAAATACCGTAAATTTTAAATTTACTTATACATGACTGTCGCAGAAATCTATTTCCGCCGAAGTTTAACTCAAAATCATATCTTGATGTACCATTAATTTCTTTTAAATTAAAAGTTTACGAGACAGTTTTTTAAATATAACCTTCTTAAACATTTTTGTGAAAATAAACATGTATTTAAAACAATACTAATTTATGTTTGTATAATCTGTATACAACAAATGTTGTATTTACACCGTATTACTTTTAAACTGACCCATGAAAAGTAGGTAATAGTATCATAGATATAACCTTCTAGATGAAACTTCAACAAATTTCGAAATATCTATGTTGCTTATAAAATAACATTTGGCTGTGATAAATACTTAACATATATTTCACTACAAATTATAATTATTCTACTCTCGCATGAGAGAGCGGTCTGCTATCCAAAATTTCTCAATTAAATTAAGCAATTTCCTCATTCAGTGCGACCCGTAAAGCTCTTATGAAAATATTCCCACTTTATCATGCTTTCCCCAGCCATACCACACTCACTCACATCCGTAACCCCCGAAGAACCCGTCTTTTGTTCTAATCATTTCCCTCCACTCAACTCGGCCTTCAACCCTTTTCGAGAGGTCGGCGTCCAAATGCAGACATTGAAACCAAACGAAAATTATGCCGCATTACGCATTATGCTTCTACGAAAGGAGCCTCCTCTAGCCAGCGCTTTTCTTTCCTCTCTCTCCCCCATTTCTTTAGCTTTTCCTGCTTTCCCCCTTTCCAGCCGCTTGGCCACACGCACACAGGCCATAAAACACGCTGGCACATTGCTCATACGCCACGTTAGCCCCGACAATTGACGGGATTTACTTTGCTTGGCAGAGAGAGAAAAAGGCTTTTCTTGAATAAAGCTTATAAATTCATAAGCTTTTTAGTAGCAATAAAAGGATTATTTCATTTTGAAAATGTGCTGTAGCTCATAACATTTATATTAAGTCTTAACTTAAAATTATTTTTGTTTAACTTAAATCAGTGTTTAAAAAATGGTTTTTTTTGCAGTGCAATTGCGGGTTTTCTTAACCCCGCTTTGCTTTTACTGCCCGCCTTACAAAGTAGACGCACTTAAGTGCTTTTGGCAAATTATTATTATTAGAGCGGCACGAAGTAAAGAGGGCCAGCGGAGGGATATCAACTATTGACAGCTTTAAGTGATTTCCGTTAACCTTTTCGATCGCCCGGCAAGCAGACCAACACGTGACCTTAGCTAAAGCAGAGGGGAAAGGAAATGCAGGGTTGGCGGGGGGGAAAACAACCCACACAGACACACATTTTTATGGGCAACAAAGGAAGGTTACATCCACATTAAATTAAAGTTAAATGGCAAAACTACGTGGCAGCCATTTTCATTCCAGCGACGACGTAATCAGCAACAAGCAGAGTGAAACGAGGGGGTGTGAAAATGGGTGGAAAAGAGCACTAAGGGTTTCCTTCGCCATTGTGGCAATTACATGTTTTAAAATAATCATTATGATCGGGTCGTAACACTAAATCCAAAGTCACATCCCCCACCAACCATGCAATCAGCACCATAAATTGTAATAAAATTCTAAATTAAATTTTGTGCTCTCTTTTTTCTGTTTTTTTGAATAAGCAGCACCTGTTGCTGTTTTTAAAAAGCACTGAGAGAAATAAAACAACATACATGCTAAGCAAGAAAATCTTAAGAGCTTTTGATTTGTTACATTGAAGAACTTGAAATTTGTTTTGACGTTTCAGAAACATTTACTTTTCAATACCATGTTAAAATTATTCAAACTAAAAACTCTGTTTAAATTGGTAGCTCACATAACGTTTTCAAAGTAGTGTTATTTGATCAGAAACCTTAAAAATATTTGCGTTTTTCGGGGCACTTACATCGATGTTGACGCCCGGCAGGGGGAAGACCTCTCCGGGGGGCTTGTTGCGTGGCAGATAGCGGTAGATCTCGTTGCCGTCCTTATACCATTTCACCGAGTACAAGGACTCCCCGTCGAGGGCGTAACGACAGCCCAGAGTGGCGCTCTTCAGGCGCATTATGTGATTGGGTATCTTCACCTCGGTCATTGTCAGCGAGCTGGTAATGTCTGCAATTAGCGTGGGAAAAGAAATGGAACGGGCTGTTAGTGTGGCGAATTATTTTTAATGGAATCCCCCTGGCAATGCCATACCCATTCCCATTGCAACTGTCGCAAAGTTATCCCCTTAATTCTTATGCCCTAACCCACATTCATATTTCAGCTGTTATGATTCCAGCTGGTCATATTTTCCCAACCAAATGGCCAGAGAGCAAACACAAAAAACCTTTTCGGCCCTGTCACATGAATTTTGACTTGTCCTGCTGGACTCCGGCTCTTAGATCCCGGAAAATCCAGTGCACGTCACTGCAGTCCACAATTCACGTGTAAGGCGAAACAAAAATACATGCGCAAAAAACTCAAAGTTTTGAGGGAAGCACAGCAGGTAGTTGAATGTTTGATACCCTATCAATATTTGTTTTACATTTATCTTTAAAAGGATTTAGAACAAGAGTAATAAATAAATGTATAATAAATAATTTTATTGATAAAGTTTTCAAATGAGACTCGTAATTATGTGCTAGAAATATATTGCTAAATTCACTTTATAATAAAGAGAAGTTGTCTAATGTGTATAAATTAATTTGGCTTACATTTTGTGTGCACTCAAAATTTTGAATATCCCCAGATATTTTTATAGGGTTTCAAAACATGGCTGATTCGATTTCAATAAAAAATTATTTAGTTGCTCAAAGAGTTATATTTTCTTAAAAAAGGTTCGATTGGTATAAAATATATTTTTCTAAAAAATTCGTTTAAGCTTTCAAGTGAATTTGCAATCCAAAAATAGTCATACCCCGAGCGCAATACGTATCCAAACAGAGCCCAAAAGCGTTTAAATCACAAACAGCAAAACCTGGCACATATCCCCATATTTGCCTTGCGCGACATTTTGGCGGGTTTTCGGCCAAAAGTCCCTGGAGGACTAACGGTAACCGTAACAGTGGCCAGGACAGTAACGGTTTTATTTGCACTGGTGTGGGTGGGGGTTACACCCACTTATTTAATATACCGCTACACTTTTCATTTTTCCAAACGTCAAACGTGAAAAAGTGAGTTCGTTTTGTGGGAAAGCGGGAAAAAACAAATACTCACGCATACTCACACAGATATTCACACACACACACACGCACACAGACGCCGTCTCAGACGCTTTTGCAAGTGTGTTAGTGTGTGGTGTAACGTGCAGCGCCGCCATTGAATTTATCACATTCACATGCAAATTGCGCCAAACGACCTTATTATGCAAATTGCCAACTGCAAATGGAGAACGAAATTGATTTTCCTGCATTTGCTTCTCCAACAACAACAGGAATAAGAAAGCGAAGGGAAAGTAAAGGAAAGGGACTCATGCACAAGGAACTAGGTACAGTGGTTACCTGATAAGGAAAATGAATTACTACACGGAAATGTGTAACTTACACGATCAGTTAAATTGGCGAATTTAAGAGAGCGCTAAAAACGAATTTAAAAAATGAAAATTGGCGATTTAAAAATAAACCGACAGCTTTACACATCCAAATGGTGGATTCATTTATGACAAGTCATTGATTCATTGACCTCTTTACAATTCTGTAGGATTTTATCTTTAATCACCAGTAATTAACATTTTTGTTTAATTGTTTTTTCGATAAAATGTGACTTTAGGTTTTATAAATCAGCAATTTGTATATTTATTTGTAACGCATCAGCTTTTATATTTAAAATTAAGAATTTAAGATAGTAATTTGTATCTTAATATCTTATTTAACTTGGTTTTTTGACACATTCCCCAAACAATGCTTTTACTGAATATTTTATTTAAAGGGTTTGATTGTAAAATCCTGGAACCAGGGTGGCATTCCCTTTCCGGAGGTGACTGTTACAGGTGCAGAGAGATGGTTTCCTATTGTCTATAGCATCCTTCAACAGTTTTGCAACACTCAGCAAGCCACGTTTATATGGCAACTAGCGGCGGTGGTACCGCCAAAAAATAGACAGAGAACCTCACCTTAAGTGGAAAAAAAGGAGGAAAAGAGTGTGTGGTTTATACAGCGACAAATGGCGAATATATTGAGCTGTCACACGCCCAACTCAAAAACACAAGCCGGAGGTTATGCACACACTGACACAGAGCCATCTGTATTATTGAACAATGTGCACACAAATAGGGACTAGACATCAGCACACTAAAAAAAAAAGGTAGAACATAAAAAAATTAAATGAAAAATTATTTTATTTGCATATTAAATTTAGTATTGCAAGTAATAGCAACCGGACGTCACTCGGTGGCGTATGAGTAATTTATATATATAGTGAATTGGCCATTTGTCATAAAAAAAATGTTATAATATTTCAAACGAAAAACAGTACCTATACCTACTAATTGAAAAATGTAATTAAACTATGTAAAACATAAATTAAATTAAATATAAAATTGTGTCCAAGTCTTAAAAGTAGAATGCTGATTCCAAATTAATCAGAATATTTTTTTCTAAGTGTATTAAGCAGGGTCAGATACCGTAAAAGGGCAGGGGGAAGGAAAAGAGAGCAGCGGAATCGGAATCAAAAATCGCAGTCGCGCCTTTAATAAAAAATACGTTGAATGCTTTCTCGTGGTTTTATCCACGTGAGTTTGTGTGTGTGTCGGTTGGCCTGTGTTAGTGTTTGCGAGTGTATGTCTGTGTGTCGGTGGCAGACAATTGGCATAAAAAAGAAGAAGAGACAGCGATGGCAGCCACAAAATGAGTTAGTTGTTTGCCTTTTTGCTGTTCCACAAACACACACACAAAAGCACACATGCAGTCCGCTTTTTTAGGCTCGAATATTTTATAGCCCCAAATACGAATCACCGACTACAACAACAAACATCATACATTATAAATTCATTTCCGTGTCGGCATATTTTTGTTAGCCCAACAGAAGAAAAAGGCAAATAAATGGAGTAGATGGTGCCATAAAATGTGCTAATAAGCTAATGATTTGTGCCAGTGTACGAGGAGAGAAAGGATCCTGTCGTAAAAATGTTTGTGTTTCAAGATTAAATTGGCCAACAAGGAAAGGAAATATGAAATTAAGAAATTATTGTTTAAACCGAAATCCCAGTTACTGAATATAAAGTAAATATGAATATAAATATTTAATAAATAGTATATCCTTTGCTACACTACGCCAATATAAATATAATTTCTACAAAGGCAATTATTTATTGACACCATTCTTTCTTCGTCATTAAGAAGTCTGAAAGCATAACCAATTTACATGGAAGCAATAGTTCTGTTAGAACCTAAATTGAAAAACTTCCAGGAATACAAAATACAATGTATGATCCTGCTAATTTAGGGCCACATAGCCCATGTCCTATTAAGGGGACACTCCCTACGTTTTTAGCGCCTTAATTGCAGTTGACTGGCATTTGACTTTGCAAATTGGCCCGGGACATTCCCTCCGTCTCTCTCGCTCCTCCTCTCGCCTTCTCTTTCTCACGTTGTGGGTGCAGGACTGACTGCGTAAATGGTGTGTGTCCCTTTTTCCACTGCCGACTACAGAAACAACAACTGACTGCACATTAAAAATTAAAAAAGCCAACAAAACGACAAAAGAACTTGAGACGAAGTGAAATTGCAATGGCTTGCATGGGATTTTAACAAAGGGGTTTAAAAAAATTTTTAATTATTAAAAGATAATTTTATGCTACTATTGATTGTTAAATTTGTAACTTAATAAGACCAGTTTTCTTCTTGAGACAATAAATAAATTAAACATTGAATTATGTTTTTTTTCCATCTGCTAAGGAACTTTGGTGTAAAACCCTTTTCTGCGCCACTGTATGTGGAAAATGGTAGAAGAACCCCGTTCCGCTTAATGTAAAAAGCCAAAAGCTAAAGCCAAAGTCGAAGAAGAAGCTAAAAAAACGGGAAGAAAAAATAAGGGGAGTGCTGCAAAAGAACTTTGCCTACAACAACGAACAGCAGAATGGAAAAAGTTAAAAAAAGAAGCAAAGTAATTTCATGCATCGTTTAATTTTCATTCGGGCTTAATTTGTGCAACGCCCCCACAACATGACCCCCCTTTTCGGGGTGCCAGTTCCGCCATTCTCACCATATCACCATAAAGAGTTTCTTGATGGCACTTCTCCCCTTTTTCTCCGGAATGTTTGAAATTTGCCATTTAGACCTAATACTCAACAGCCACTTCCCGCTCAACTGACAATTGAAAAAGCAAATAAACTGGAGAGTAAAAGGGGTTAGACAAATGTGAAGAAACCAGAAGAACAACAGCCCTCAAAAATAAGTACATTCGCACGGAACTGAAATTGACACCAACCAAATTTGAAGACAAATTAAATTAAATGAAGCGAAGTTTTGTGTTTCATTTGGATTATGTATCTAGTCCTTTTGAAAAAACAGTGTTTTTAAATCATTTATATAATTAGTTTGCTGGCAAGATTTGTTTTATTGGACTAAAATTTATGTATTCATTCTTAAAATTCACACAACCCCTTTTTTGTTAAATTATTTAGCGATAAGTTTTTTTTTTAAATTATACATCTAAAATAGTTAATATAAGTGTATTTATAATTTCTTTCCTTAAGCTATACGCTACAACACAACCTTTTTTATCATACTTCTCGTGTGCAACCATTTCACCCATTGTCATTCACGCACGTTCAAAATAGACGACTTGTCCGCAGACAAAAATTGTTTCGACTTTAATGAAGTCAATTTTGGAAGTTGTTTCTGCCGCACCCATACCTCCCCTCCTCCAATTTCAGGAGCCATCCTTTCGAAAATTCTCTACCCCCTTTTTGTAATTGAAATTTTTATAGTTGTCGCACAGTTTGCTATCTCGAGGAAATGAAAATGGGAGGAGGGAGGGTGAAAACTCGGCTGGGACAAACTTTTATCAGCGCCTGGCGCATTCTTTAAAACAATTTCCAGTGTCTACCATCCCCACCCATATATCCCCGTTCCCTTTCTCCTGAAAGCCGCAACAAATTAATCCCTTTATTTGCATAATTGAAAAACATC